GCAAAAGCATTCTCCAGGGTTATCGATAATAACTGCTATAAATCCTCTTCATCTAGCGGAATTATAGAGAGCGAAGCTTCTATTGATTCACATGACAATAGCATCGCAAGCACCATGATGCTTAATCAAAGAAGTTCCGAGAAACTTAACGATATATGGAGAAAATGTATAGAAAGGTGTCATTCCAAAACCTTGAGGCAGCTGCTCTATACTTATGGGAAACTTATATCTATCAGTGAAGTTGAAGGTAAAAAGCCTAAGATTTTTTTCTTTTTAATTTTGAAGTTTTGCATCCTTAACAAGATGATATGATTTGCAGGTATTCTAGTTGCTTATATCGCGTTTGGAGAACCAGATATCAAATTGAGAGCTGAAAGGTTTCTAAGCAGTATCACAAACTCGATCGAAATGGTACTAAGGCGGAGCGTAGAGGTCAGGATAATCCTCTTGCCTGAAACCGAGTTACTCATCGCCCCTCACCAGACCCGGAAACCAGAAATGACCAACAAAAGTGGGCTTCTAAATACGATTGCTGGTTTAAATGCTGAAACAGATGTTGAAGATGGTAGCAGTGAGGAAAGTAGATCAAAACTCCCAATGCAAAGGATAGAATCGATAATCCGAGAACAAAGATTAGAAACCGCGTGGTTACAAACTGCTGATAAAGATACACCTGGGTCAATAATACGGGTAAAACCCGAAAGGAATCAGATTCTACCTCAAGAAGACACTTATCGCCAACCTAACGTAGGTTCTGCTATTTCTTCTTCTGGACTAACCCCTCACCATTGGGTAGATGAATTAAACAATGAAGTTAAACTTTTGAAAATCGGCGACAATGGTGAGCTTCAGGAGAATCTAACCTGTAAAAGAGGAGAGCATTGCCCTCTTTCCCCAAGCTTACTTCATGATACTAAATTTGGAAACAACAAAGACAATCTGTAAGTTCCTTACTCTGATCCTTTTCGAGTTAAACCAAAAACCAAATAAGAGCATTATAATAAACGTATGTCATATTATGTATTCATGAACACTTTGGCTTTGGTTGTGTAGAGGAGGATACGAATCAGGAACAGGAAGAGTTGGTTGTAATTTACTATTTTGTTGGAACACAAACAAGACTCAGAGACGAAGCAAGGTTTGTGCTAATAACTCGAATACGTTCCTTCTTTTTCGAAGTTTATTTTTTCTCATTTATGTTTCATTTGTTGGATTTTGATTAGTCGAAACAGGTAAAGGGAACACCTGTTCGTTCACGGAGAAATCGCAAGAGCCGATTCTCTCTGTTTAATGGATGTGCTAAGCCAAGGAAAGCTGAAGGTAACATTAGAAGATGAAACTAAGTTCGTACGTCGTAATTGTTCCCTCAAGATCTAATTTTATTATCATCGTGTTCTTCCACTTCCACATAGTTTTTCTATTCGATACTGATATGTTGAAGGATAGTTTTAATTTATTCCCTGTAAAGTTCGTATCCTATGGGTTGCAACAACTCCATTTTTGTTATCTATCTTATAAACTTCAAATTTTATTTTTTACTATGAAATAAAGAATCGAGAAATATGTTAACCAGTTAATAATGATAAACATGCAAAACAATGTCATTTGAAAACAATACGTTTTCAAAATACTCTCCATTATAGTTTGACCTGCATGCGACGGTTTGATCCGCTTGATAGGCTTAAGTGCTTAACTATATAAACTTGAATTGATGGTATGTTTTTTTGGTAAGTGAATTGATAATATGTTGAGAATAAGATTTATTGGGTAAATTCATCAAATATTTGAGGTCAAAGAAATCATAACGTGTATTCAACTAATATCATTATGTATTACTATATTTTAACAAACAATTTAAGTAAAAAAGTAATCATATTGCCTTACGTTTTGGTCAGCATATCATTCTAGTCAACCAAATTAATTACATTCAATCATCTTATTTATGTCACAACAATATAAATAAGCAAAAAACAGGGTAAACATTTTTCAATCACAAACAAACAAAAAAATATGAAAATGGTTGTAAAGCTTTCTCAAATAAAAATTGTAGTTACTCTGTTTCTTCTTGCATTAGGACTTGGCCAAGCTAGAAATCCTCCAATTATCCCAACCGAGCCATTTCCTCCTCCACCACCAAACCCAACCGTGAAGACATCAGTGAACCAATACCCAGGCGTGTTTCCAATCCCACCAACTCCTCCAGGCAGTGGTGGTGGTAACAAAATTGTTTTTACCAAAGTCTAAATATAATGTAAAATTAATAAAAGAATAATACATTATAATGTAAAATTAATAAAAAAAAATAATACATTTGTTTTGAAAGAAAACCACAGCATATTTTATTTTGGGCAAATTTTTACTCGTTCATGCACAGTTCTAAGAATCAACGCATTACAATATGTTTTATTTACGATTAGATTTTCGTTTTTATAACTTGCAACAATAGTAAAGCATATGTTTTCAACAAGTAGTATCAAAGGATATCTCCATAGAGACATGGAGTCTATTAGAGTTCTAAAGTCCCACATTGCTTGGGATTAAGATTATCGTGTTGTCGTTAGGTGATGTATCTATCACCGCTGATTTGTCGACGACAATAAACTCATTACTACTCATTTTAATCTTGTTCTGTACCCAATGCCTCTATATCCTTGGCTAGAAACAATACTTATTCAATGACATATATCTAAACAATCTCGCGTACTATTGAATTGTCGATTAGAAGTGCTCTGCTTTTCATCACTTCAACCGCTCATCTCTCTCAAATCCGATCTTTGAAGATCTCTTCGGACTGCGATAGCTTGGTTAATAACTAATGGCAATCTCAAGGAGTTAAAAGGAACCTTTTATGATATCTCTTATCTGAAAACTTCTTTCAATTCTATCTCTTTTGTTTTTATTCCTCGCCAAAACAATGTTGAAGCATATACCTTGGCTAAGGCTGCTCTTTCTTCATCGGCTGTTGTAATCAATTCCTCCCTTAGTGTTAGTGGAGTGTAACTCTCGTATTTCTCTGTATTAATCTATGAGTTTGATAATAAATAAATAAATGTATGGTTCTGACTTGTCATCTTACAATAGTGAACTATATTTTGCAAAATCAAAAACCAAAACATACAAGTCATTCAAGACCCTTATATATTCGACACATTCAACTAATATAAATATATTTACATATTTTGGATATATAATTCCATCATAAATCTATTATATTGCCAAATTTTGTTTTTCCAGAACATATAATTCTAGTCAAGAAAAATACTTTTTTATATATATGACAACATATAATTCTAGTCAACAAAATTAATCATATTGCTTTTTTTTTCTTCTTTTTTTTGTAACAACATATAATTCTAGTCAACAAAAGTAACTATATTGCATTTTGTTGTATTCATCAGAACTATATAAATAGGGAAGCTAGAGTAAACATTTTTCAATAACAAAATCAAAATATGAAGATGACTCTAAAGCTTTCTGCCATAGCAATGGTGGTTACCCTACTTCTTCTTGCATCTAGCCTTTCCGAGGCTAGGACAGCTCCTTTTCTTTCTACATCAAAGTTTCTAACCAACATGAAGCTTTCTGTGAGCCAAATTCTCTGGCCTCCAGGTCAAACTCCTTGTTTCCCATGGTACAAGCACTGCCCTCCAGCCCAAGCTCCATATGGATCACAGTCCCCATAAACATAAACTTATGTTTTGAAAATGTTTAAATCGTATTAAATGTTTCAATATATCAATAATATACATGACCAACATTAGTTATGTTTTGGTGTTATTGCGTATTTACTCATCTAATTCATAATAATTACCATTTACATATCTAACTTTTATTCACAAATTGTGTCGAGTTTCATATTGTGAATGCGAAAAGCAAATTATTCCAACCCAAACAAAATTTATTATACACTGTTTTATACACCAAATACAATGTCATATACCGAATGTAACGAAAACAAAGTACTACATATACTATTCACATGTGTAAGTATGTAACTAAAAACTCTATTGATTCGGATACTACAAATTATTGGCAAGTGATGTTATTTAATAGACCAATATTGAATTCACTAAAGTAAAAAAAAAAAGAAAAAAAAAATAAAGAAAATTAGAAGAAGAAAAAAAAAACAAATTAATTAGCATCGATGTATTTACCTTGAGGAGCAAGCTGAGGAGTGAGGATCGTCGACGAATCCTCTCGCAGCGAAGATGGTTTTTGTTGATTCGGATGATGCATGGTCTTTAGGTTTAAATCCTTAAACTTTATATAGTGGTTACGTATTTGGTCAGCAAAGGCTTTATCGTAGTCATAGTAGAAAAATGTACTTTCTTTAATATCCCAAGGAGTCGTCACGTCAATACAACTATTGTCGTAAGAAGACATGATTTCTACGTTTTCGATTTTTACAAAAATAATCGAAAGAAGAAGGAAACTTAATACAAAGAGCAACGCAAGTTGTACATGTTGCTCAGATCCGAGTGGGAACAGCGAAGCGACAAGAGAAAGACCTAGAAAGATTCTCAGGTTTGTCGTGGTCGTGCCACCCTGGCCCTTGATCAAAATTCAAAGAGTAATCGTAAGGTTCATAAGCCACGACCTTAGCGGAGGAAGAACGACAAGACAACTGACAACATCTTAAGCTTCATCAACAGAACCTTCAAGTACTTAGGCAAGACTCTTTCTCTTCCTCGTTGTTGCTTCTCTTCATCTCTTGTACAACTCTTGCTGTTTCTTCCGGGTACGATTGTCTCTCCGTAAGATGAAGCTGATGATGATGAAGACGACACGTTCCATATCTTCTTGCTTGGAGAGATCTCAAACATCATTAAGCTACTGAATCTACTTTTCTGATTAGAGAGTCACATTAAACCTAAACCTAAATTCCTTTACATCCATATTAACGGACACACCTTGATCGTGTTTTTCACACTAGCAATAAACAAAATAGCCCATAATTTGGGCTTTACACATGGCCCATCGACCGATACTGATCCAACAACTGAAGAGCCAAACTTTACTCAATAAAGTGATCATAATAATACAGTTACACACACTTCAACATTTAAGGCTTTTAAGATATGTGATCGTTCATGAACACTTGAAAAGGAATTATGAATATTTTCCTGTCAAAAAAATTAATAAACATATAAAAAACCTTGTAATGATAACTCATGAGTCCTCGCTCAAGATTCTCTCAGCAAGCAGTAAATCATCAGGTGTTGTGACCTGCAATGGAGGAGACAGTTTTACCAATAAATAAGATTGTAAAAAAAAAACCCATAAGTTAAGTGTTTCTTTACCTTGATGTTTGTATAAGATCCTTGAGTGACATAAACTGGATGCTTGAGGTATTCAACAATCGAAACATCATCTGTTACCTCTAGGCCTTCTCTGTTTTAGATATAGAACACAAGTAGTAATCAGTCTTTTTGTATATTGATCCAGACCTTAATTGTTTCTAAGTTTCACAAACCTTTTCACAAGCTCGAAACCTCTCTTCAATAGCTCGGGTTTGATCACCTAAAGATAAAAGATACATTGAGGTGGTTTGAAACCAAAAAATCAATCATCAAAAGTACGAAAAAGAATTAAAACCTGTGGTGTCTGCATTTCCCAAAGGGTTTTTCTGTCGAGAGTTTTTACAACAAGCGATTCAGAATTGACCTGCATATCACAGATTCACAATGGAACAAGTCTAATATCAAAAATGAGATGATGACCCCAAAAAAACTAACATTAGTAATTGAAGAATTTGCACCTCTTTGATTGTAGCTTTAGCAGGAACACCAAGTACGGCTGCTCCTACCGTATAACCGTCTTTAAGGACCTTAACCAACAAAACAGTGCTATAAATTCTTAAGGGACATAGAGAAATTTGTTTCATTCTCCTTAATTTTTTTGCTACTTCTCATAAGTATACCTTCTCGACATCTTCAGTGTTCACTAATGGTCTGGCAGAATCGTGGATGCAAACAAGCTCAGAGTTCACATCGATTTCCTGTGAGAAATCAACTTCAAGCTCATATGAACTATAACAGACAGTGTGTTGTAGAATCATTTCTTTTGAGGAACAGATCCATTGGATATGCTAATCAAAGGAATGAAGGGATAAACCTGAAGTCCACTGTAAACAGAATCTTGTCTTTCTTTCCCAGGAAGAGCAAATCTAAGATCAACTTCAATTGATTCTTCGTATTCTTTAAGACCATAAAAGAAGCTCAGTGAAATCGCTGGAATATCTCTCAATCAAAAACACAAATTATGAGAGAAAGCGAGACTAAACCTTCGAAAATGTCACGGAAAAATGGATCACAAACAACTACAATTTCCTTCACTTCAGGCATACGTGAAAACGTGAAAAAGCTGAAACAATAAAACATAAAATTCAACAAAGACAAAGTAAAGAACATCTCTTTACAAGAAATTCAAACGTTCTCATTCTTTTAGATGGTACAATACTAATAGACAAGTCGATTCAACAGTTTAAAAACAGCCAAATTACAATTCTTCCATCAATCAGATGAGACTGTTATTAGTTCTCAGACACAGATTCAAACAACATTTATAAGACTTTTACCAGTAATTGACTGGCAAGTAAGAAATGTTACCTGTACAAAGCAATTGGCTGACCCAGAAGTGGTATATACTGCTTTGGCATAGTCATCTATTCACATTAAAAAATACAAAACCAAAAAAATGGTGGAAAATTTGAAATTCCATAGAAGAAACAATACAACTTGAGCATTAAGTTTGAAACTTTGAGACTAAAACAAAAAGCTTACTTTCATTCTCTTGCCTTGACCTCCAGCTAAGAGAATCACTGAGACACTCTTCTCCTTCACAATAGTATTGCTCTAACGAACAACAAAGCAACGAAAGAGATTTCAAACAAAACTACAGAAAAAGCTTGTATTCGAGTTTGATTCCAAATTATGAACTTACATTATCCAATCCAGTAGACGAAGAACACTTGATTGAGAATGATAAAGCATCTCTATTGTAGCTTCTATCAACCCTTCTCGAAAAATCCAGTTTTTGAACTGATTCAACATTCCAAAACTATCAAAAATCTCATCCTCGAAACAAAGATTTATCTATTTGAGAGTACAAAAAGAGTATGAGATATTGCCTTGGGAACGATAGGTAAAGCCCAGAGAAACTGAGCTCGATTTGAATGCAAGCTTCGGACATAAAAATGTCGGAGATGTAATGAAGCCAAGATTCGCTTGAAGCATCGCCATGTTTTATTTATCTCGCCGGAGAGATGAAACTCTCAGTTCATCGGCGAAACCCGTATATATTAGGCCTATTAAAACATCAAGCCCATTAGATCCTATTAATGGGCTTTTAATAAGGCCCATGTAGTCAATACAACAAAACAACACATCAAAGCGAAATGCTTCAGAGAAGAGGAAAAAAAACGTAACATCGACGAAGACCGGCGAAAATGGCGAAACCGTTGGGAACAACCGGTGAATTTTTCCGGCGAAGGGATGAGTGGAGGAAGCATCCGATGCTATCGAATCAGATGAGACACGCACTTCCAGGTCTTGGGATCGGTGTTGGTGCCTTCTGCGTTTACCTCGTCGGTGAGCAGATCTATAGCAAACTCATGGCTCCTTCTTCTCAATCATCGCACCAGAAACAACCCGCTCCCTCTCACTGAGAGAACGATTAGGTAAATTTTTCAATTTTTTCTCGAATCCGTTTTGGTTCTGGAAGATTTTTGATTCTAATCGATTTGACTTCTTGAAAGATTTGATAAACCAAAGTTAAGATAATGTTACGTTTCAGGGTGATAGAGTAAGATTTGTGCATATCATTTAGGATTTACTTGGCAGAAATGGTTATAGATTTTTAGAATCTTTGAATCAAGTTCTTTTAGTGAATTAAAGTTAACAGCTTTAGTTGTCTAAGTTATTGGCAATGGCTGATGTGTATTGGTCTGAGATGAATCCACTCCTTGCAGTTAGGTATAAGCAGAGCTGAATAAACACTTTCAGGCCAATTTCAAATAGTTATAAGGTTCAAGTTCAAAAGAAATGTTTCTGGCTTTTTGAATTCTGAACGTATTGGGATTGAATTGGTCACATGCTTATGGTTATGGTTTTCAGTGATTCTCTGCATGAAAACTCTTTGAAATTAAGAATTGAGATTCAATCGGTCACATGCATATGTTTATGGCTTTCGTGATTTCTCTTCATAAAAACTCTTTAGGTTTAACAGTTTTGATTTCAGATGTTAGCATTGCTGTCTTGATCAAGAATAGGTCGATTTTTTGCTTCGTTTTTTCATATACTATGCCTTTGTTTTTTGCTTTGTATAAGCAGAATCTGAGTAAACGCTTTTATATATCAGGTGTTAATGGTTTTATTACAGTAATTTCTATTGCCACTTTGCTTTTACAAAGCTTTGATGGCAGTTGTTCTCATTGATGTCTTGATCAAGAGATAGGGTCGCTTTTTTGCTTCATTGTCTCATCTACATGGCTCTAGTTTTCGCTTATATGCAAAAATCGAGAAAACCGTTTCAGATCATATAATGGCTGTATAATAGTAGTTTCTATTGCCTCTTTGCTTCATATTAATGATCTGAAAGATAGGTGTCCTTTTGTATCTTATTTTCTATGAGACCCTCTTTGGTTTTGCTTTGAATCTTTCTGTTTTGTTTGTAAAAGGTTATAAACTAATAAAAACTACTAATCTTTTTGCAGATTGATCCAATGATGAAACTGTGGCAGATAAAGAGCTGAGAGATTTCACAATTTGCCGTTTTTTCTTGGATTGTCTCAATAAGCTGTGAATGAAAGACAAAAAGACTCTCTGATCTCTCTGTTGAATGTTATAATCTTGTATGACAGTTTCCATTGTGGTTTTGTAATGTGTTCGTTTTTATTCTTAATAAGAGTTCTTCCAAGATGACATTGAACAATAAAGATAGCATCTTATGCTTCGAAATTTCTAAAAATGAAGCAGGCTTAAATGATCCTCTTTATTGGCTACGGTTAAAGAGCCTCCACTACCTGAGATCTTGAGATCAAGAAGACGACACTCGAACTTGAAACCATCATATATGTTTAGAGAGAGCCAGAGAAGTAACAAAAACCATCGTATATGGTTGACTAGAGCCTACGGTTAAATTATATTGGTACAAATCAATCTTGACTTTTGAGATTTGGTTTGTAAATTATGCCTCGCCAATGGAATCACCACATTTATTCAACATTATCTTTGTACGTATAAGCTTCTCGAGTGTGAGTTTGATTTGATATTCATGTTGATTGTTGTGTATAAATTATTCAGAAGGTAAAAAAAGTTGGTGTTCATATAATTTTCACTACTGTCAAAATTCACATGCAAACTGAGTGATGGATGATGGATCGTTGTCGTAAACTGAAAGATATGAAAATATTTTATTTTGGCTCTTTAAATTTGTTTTTAGCCGACCAGTGTATATATTGGCACTTTAGTTTATAGAAATATATAAAGGAGTACGAAATGTATTTTCTTACACGCTACGTCCAAGTTCTAACCATGGCCACTCCCATTTCTTTCCTCTGCCATAATATTGTATATATGTACTTGATAATATTATTTACACATCATATAAAATAAAATGATACATATTATAAAGAAGACGAAAATAAAGAAATCTAGTGTCAGTAAAGTGATTGCACGTAACCAAAAAGATAAATCCATAAGTTCAAAAAAAATCGAGTAGTCGTGCATTTTGCTCGATGCTTGTTTTTTTTCGTGTGAGAATCATTTGAAACAGCCAAACAAGTAAGATAAAACTCGATTATTAGGAAAAATAACGAAGCATGCATGGAGTAACAAAAATGCTACTTTATGTTTTTAGAACAAATTAAACTTTAAAGAACTATGTATGGAGTTTTATCGTTCATGGGAGAGGATTACACAAAGGCAAAGTGTTTTCTTTGCTTGCATTTGCAACCTCAAAATGCACATTGTTCCTTTACTTGTGTCTTTAAAATTCTTTATTTAGTAACTACAATCAATTTTATTTTATTTAAAATTTCTGTAGCCTTATCCCATTACAAGAAAAATGTATCATCCTTTGTTCGTTTGTAGTTTTTGTTTTAATAGTACAGATAATACATAGGAGACATTATCTCCTACGTTCCACCAAAAAAAAAGACAAATGTATCATCCTACCAAAAAAAAAAAAGCGAATCAGTTGAGGGGAGATACATAGATTCTTCATGAAATTTTATTTTTATTGGATAAATCGTGTTTGATATATGTATAAAACTAATGGCCAAAGAATAAAGAAGTAAAACAAATTATTTTTTTTGTTTTACATTATTAAAAAAAAGATATTCCCCTCACTATACATGAATATACAGTGCATAGTGTCATTTGTTTTCAATTTCAAAGTAGATTATTCCCAAGCAAATTGTGGTTATGGCTTACAATACTAGTGAATGGTCCCTAGTTCCTTTGTCACACCGATTCTAGTAAAACAGACCACATTATTCTTTTAAAAAATCACTTCTTGTTCTTTAGAGTCGAGAAACCACAATTTTAAACAGTTTGTAGTTATGACGTATAATGAATTACTATTTTGTGCATATTCTCAAGAAAAAATATACTAGTATAACTTTTTTTTGGTAAAAAAAAAAAATGCTATTACTATATAAAGAGAAAAATCATATGAATGATTCTTTTTTTGTTCAACATTTTTTTGTTCAACATAACGAATTTTAAAAGGAATATTAAATATTAAATGTTTATCCCCAAAAATATAAGGAATATTAATTAATTGACAATTCAGCATTTTTCACCCTTTATTCTGTTTTCGTTTTCCTTCAAAATATAAGTATACTCATAACAAAAGTAAGTTGAGTAAATTACGAAAGCCACGACCATCTTGAAAATTGTGATGCAATTTCTGGACCATCAAACCTAACGTCATTTATTCTTGTGGTCCATTTTCTTTTATTTGTTTCTTATACCTCATATAAAAAAAATCTCACTTAACGTGTGAATAAATACATAAAAAATTCAACTATATTATCTATTTATATTACCAATTATTTTGATGCTATCGTAAGGTACAAAGAAAATAGAAGAGTTTTCTAAAAAGCTGCCACAAAGGAATTTACCAGAGTCGAGAAGAATAGACAATAAATATAAACAAGAAGGGAACAAGAAAAAAAAAAACGTACCCAACACTAAGTACAGTATATATCTCGATTAATACATTTGGAAAAGGTAATAACATATAGTAATATGTATTTTGAAACATTAGTCACCAATTAGAAAAAATAATAATGTTAAGCATGCTTGATTTTATTGGTTTTATTTTAAAGAGATATAGAATTAGTAGTAAGTGTGGAATGTACCACATTTTGAAACAAAATTTAACTTACTAATTATATGATTAAATTATGATTTTTTTTTTTGCACAATTATATGTTCCGATAAAGGAGAAGATCATGGTATATAAGTGCACATATTTCGTAGGACCCAAAATTTATAGTAACTTCAAGTGAATCATAGAAACTCACATGCATGACATGACAACCTCTTGAAACTAATATCATACGTGACATAATTAATGGCCAAGGATAATTATCGATTTTCATTTTGGGTAAATGAACAATATATGTGTTATAAGATTTTTAACTAGATTGAAAATTTCAGTCACTATATTAGTATCATTTTTAACACATCAAAGAAAGTTTATGATATATATATACCTTACCATATAGATTAATTACTTAATTTCCATTACATTTTAAATAATTACTATTTAATTATGGATAATGAGATGTTTGTTTGTCAAAACTTACATCAAAATCATACAGTAACATATTAACATACACACACAGACACACACACACACACATATATATATATATATATATATATATATATATATATATATATATATTTGAAACAAAAATATGATTTAGAACGATACCTATATCTTAAAGCGAAAGGAGTATGTATGAGTTTTCTTAAGTTAAATTAGCTCCAAAGTATGCATTTGTCATGTGGCTTTATATTGGTGATTAAGTGGACATCTTATACCCAAAAAAAGATTAAAGTGTCTCTTTATTTGATTAGAATTTGTTTGTTCTAAAAGTTCAAAGTTTAATGATTTTGCAATCAAGCCTTCTATCATTTCAACTAAAGAAAAAGCAACCAAAACCATGATTAATTTTTTTCCACTAATTAATCGTTGTAACTAGCTAATTTGATACCAAAAAAATAAATTGTTTTAGTGTTTTGGAAACAAAGATGAGATATTGCTATTTATTATAAACTTTTTTCTGTTTGTTATCTGCTTCAATACTCTTCCCACTAATTTATCCGACACACGGTTTCTTTACACTGTTGTAAATTTGATGTCTGATAGTGCAAGCCAAGCAATCTCCCATAATCCTTAATTTTTGTCTCTTTTCTAGTTTGTGTCTCCCTCCTCCTCTATTTGGATTATAGTTGTCATTACTCAAATTTAACTTTGGTAGATAGATTATTAATAAAATATCCAATGACTTGATAATTAAGATGAAAACTAGGTCAAAGTGATGCAATTAACTAATCATGTTTTTTCTCTTTGTCTGTGAAAAAGTGAGGAAATAATTAGCTATGGCTATGGCTTTCATATATGTCTCTCTCACGTCATGCTTTATAGGCTTTAGGCTTTAACACTACTAAATACTCTAAGCCCTTAGTTTAAGGCAGTGCCTTCACATCCAAAATCTACCTGCAGCTCTCTCTCTCTCATTATCTTCTTTCTTCAAAGTCTTCAAAGTCTCTATTCTCTAAATTTATAAAACCCTAATTAGTTCTCTAAACTCCATAGCCGCCTCTCTTTACTTCTCAGATCCTTGAGGTTTTAGATCCTTCTTTCTGTTTATTCTCAAGAAAAGTTTCTGGTATGTGCTCTTTATTATCCTTCACTCAAATCAAATCTTCATTATATTTGTAAAAGAGAACAGTTTTGTTTTGATGATACAATACATATTATTAAGTCTTCTTCATTATCATCAACCTTTATTTCTCAAGTGGGTTTGTCAGCTTTTGCTTAAGCAGGCTTGCAATATCTTTTTCTTTTGTATTTTTCCGTTTTGTTCTACATCTTTTTGGACCTTCTAAAATTAGGGTTTTTGCTTTTTGTTTAAAGGAAATTATTTTAAAATATGGGTTTAATAAGTAGTGAAGAAAGCTCTTGCTTTTTTTGTGTGTGGCTTTAATGATATGATCTTTACTCTTTAATTATCTTTACTCTTGTTCTTTCTTCCTAACTAATGTCTTTGTCCCCAAACCAAGAAACACTTTGCCAAATCCACAAAAGAAGTTTAAATTAATCGTGACTATTTTTTTTTTTTGTGTTGCAGAGACATCAAAAGAATGGAGATAGCAAGCCAAGAAGATCCTACTCCAATAAACATTAGTTACGGTAATACTGGAGGTGGGCATGGGAACATGATCCATCATCATCATGCCAATTCTGCTCCATCAGCTCTCAACATTACTAGTCCAAACCCACTACTAGTCTCTTTAAATGGTAACGGTCTTGCCAAAACTCATGATCATTCTCATCATCATCATCATGTGGGTTACAACATCATGGTCAACAACATCAAGAAAGAGAAGCCTGTGGTGATCAAGTACAAAGAATGCCTAAAGAATCATGCAGCTTCCATGGGAGGCAATGCCATTGATGGTTGTGGAGAGTTTATGCCAAGTGGTGAAGATGGTTCCATTGAAGCTCTCACTTGCTCAGCTTGTAACTGCCATAGGAACTTCCATAGAAGAGAAGTCGAAGGTGAAGAAAAAGCCTTCTTTTCCCCTTACCTCAACAACCACCAACCACCTCCGCTGCAGAGAAAACTCATGTTCCACCACAAGATGGTCAAATCACCTTCACCACAACAAATGATAATGCCAATAGGTGTTGCAACCGCTGGATCCAACTCAGAGTCAGAAGACCTCATGGAAGAAGACGGAGGAGGAAGCTTGACATTCCGACAGCCACAACCACCGCCACCACCACCACCGTATAGCTACGGACATAATCAGAGGAAGAGGTTTAGGACAAAGTTTACACAAGAGCAAAAGGAAAAGATGGTGAGTTTTGCGGAGAGAGTTGGTTGGAAGATGCAAAGACAAGAGGAATCTGCTGTTCAAGAGTTTTGTCAAGAAATTGGAATTAGGAGAAGAGTACTTAAAGTTTGGATGCACAACAACAAACACAATCTATCTAAGAAGAACAACAACGTTAACAACAATGTCGAGCTCTCTGCTGGTAATACCGACGTTAATAACGCCACTACTGAAAATCTTGCTTCGACTAGTCCGATCCTTAGTTAAGTTAAGATTGCTGTAATAGCTTCACTCATGTGATTACTTAATTAAGTACTTTGTTATCGTAATGTTAATCATTGTTTAGGTTGCTAGCTTTTTAGTTTTGACAAACATGTGTGTTTATTAATTAGGGTACTATATATAATCTTGGAGTGTGTAAGATAATTAAGGTTTTGATGTTTTCTAATTCTATGTTTTTAAGAAAATTTATTGGTGGCCATCTGACCAACTAATGCATTGGGATTTTCACTGTTTATTAAATATTCCGAATCATTACACTTTGTAGTTCGTGATATCGTTTAGTCATACTCATATAGATAATTTATGCATGCAACTTCTATATTTTGTATGTGTAGTTAGATCTTTCTCGATCGACGATCGTGCAACTTTTTATAATATAAAGCTTTGTTTCTGACAAATGAGTTTCTTACTTAAATCCTTTCCAATAAAGTTCGCAAACAGTGCTCTCTGAGTTGTCTATTTTCCAGTTTTAAGACTAAACAACAAAGTAATTAGTATATATATCTTTGGTCCAAAATTGGTTGTTGTTATTGTTAATCTTGCTTTGATATTCTTATGCTATCCTATATTATCACAAACTCTTTAAATTTGAGTAGTTTGAACAAATATATATAGGCTGTATAAATGATGATTGACAAACTCATGATCAAAAATAAGATTGCAGGGAAAACAAAGAAAGCAATGAATTATGATTTCTATTAATGGAGAGTTGAAGATTGTACTGGCGAGTGTAAGTAAAGTCTTATTACGTATGACGTATTAGCTAGGTTGAGTAAATGTTTGGTTGGTGTCACAAAGTGAACTCATATTTATTAACCATTTATACAAATGTATATTTGAAAAGTCATGTGTAGATTACTTTATGAGAATTCTCTTGAGGCATATAGTAGTTAGTATTCTTGTAATGTGATAATGTGATATATACAGTTTAAGCCATGCATCGAAAGGGAGTTAAGATTTATATGATCGATGTTCTGTTCCTTGTGATATCACATGTTTCATTTATTGTCTCGAGAGACACAACTTTGCATATGTGGTTTAAACTTGTACTGGTAGAGCTAAATAACACGATATTTAATAAACCTTGTAATAGTCGAAATCAAACAAAATTCAAAATTCAATTATAACTTTAATAAGTTATTTTGTAGTCATTGCTCATTAGCGGCAATAACATATTTGATTTTGATGTGTAAATTTTTAGTGACATAATTTTCTACTTTTTCATCGTCGAAAAATAATATCACCATAATTTGTCGTTGAACTAATCACTAATGAACTATGAATGAAATAAACACAAATTTGGTCGAAAAACTAAAAACCCTACTTGCTTGGAATTGAATAAACCCATGGCTCTTCCGAGGAACGTTGGGCCAAGATTGAAAAAAGTAAACTAATTGGGCCAGGCCCATTCATTATTCACCGACTCTTAAGTCCTACAATGTACATATATAAATTTAACCCACAACGGCCCATTGTTATATGTTTTTGCAGTTTTTCTTGTAGGGAGAGAGAAAGGCAAAAAATCAAGCTTCACGAGTACGGAAAATTACAGTAATTCCATCTTTTCCTTTTTTACTTTCCTCAAGGCTCTCTTCTCCGCAACTTCTACCACTAGCAAATCGGAACTCGCGGCGTTCTCTTTCGTCTCCGGCGTTATCTCCCGTCGATTTCATCTTCTCAGGTTAGTTAGGGTTTCCTCTTGTTTTGTTTTCCTTTTTTCCTTTTTGTTTTCTGTGCGACATCGAAAAGTCTGATGATGTTTAGCGTTTAACTCTTTTAGTCTTCGTAGTCGTACTCGTACTCGTAACACTTAGGGTTTTGGTGGCGATGATACTTTGATTTCTCGAACGGAACTTCTTCTTTGTGATCTTCGATGAATCAAAAGTTTTCTTATGCAAAAACTAATTAGGTTTTGTTATCGGGAGGGAATTAAGCTCCTTCTTCGGTGCTTCTGACTTTGTTTCATACGTTTTGTCCTCTGTGGAGAGCTTGATAAAGTGACATTGCTCTGACTAAGCGTTTTAGTCTAAGGTTGCTTGATTCTCTTTCTACTGTGTAAATAATTTGAGATCCTTGTTTGATTGCAGTTTGAAGGGGTGAATTGATAAGGTCAAGCCAAGATGGCGAACTTACAAGTGTCTGGAATCATCGAAAAGGTTTTTCTTCATTATCTATTTCATTAAGCTCAATGTCGTTTTTGAGTGTGTTCAATTTTCTGATTTCTGTATATATTTTTTTTTCTTCAGATGACTGGTAAAGATAAAGATTACAGATATATGGCAACCTCTGATTTGCTTAATGAGTTGAATAAGGATTCCTTTAAACTCGACACGGACTTGGAGATGAGATTGTCCAGTATCATTCTGCAGCAGCTAGATGATGTGGCTGGTGATGTTTCTGGATTGGCTGTCAAATGGTTAGCTTTCATCTCTTTGAAACTTATGACCCATAGCTGATGTTATATCACTGGCATTCAATTGTTGTGTCTGTCTTGGTATATCTGTAATGCAGCTTTGTTTTTCTTGGCCGTGAGCCTTTTAAATCTAGCTGATATGTCATTGACCTTTAATGTATGATTTTTTTCCAGTCTTGCCCCACTGGTGAAGAAGGTTGGAGAAGAACGAATCGTCGAAATGACCAACAAATTATGTGATAAACTACTACATGGGAAAGACCAACATCGTGATACCGCAAGCATAGCTCTCAGGACTGTTGTCGCCCAAGTTGCTCCTTCACTTGCTCCGTCTATTCTTGTTACTCTAACCCCACAAATGATGGGCGGGATAAGTGGCCAGGTTAGTGGTTGGGAGCTTATTTTCTCTTTTTCGATTGCTTATGCCACAGTGCCTAGTGTCTTAGACAATTTCATGATGCTCATAGATATACATTTAAAAGTCAAAATCAGGCAGAATAATTGAGATCTATTGGAAATTGAGTTGATTTAATGTAAAGTTTTGTTGGAGCTAGTACAATTTAATAACTCTTTCTGAAAACTTCTTAGTAGACCAGAGCACAGTATAGGCATATAATAATTTGCATACCCTATCAAATCTGAGGTACTATCTTCTTGTTTTGCAATTGACTAATTTTCTGCTTGCTTTTTGCTGAAGGGAATGAGCTCAGGGATTAAGTGTGAATGTCTTGAGATCATGTGTGACGTTGTTCAAAAATATGGAAGTTTAATGGCGGATGATCATGAGAAGCTATTGAACACATTGTTATTGCAATTGGGTTGTAACCAAGCCACCGTCAGGAAGAAGACTGTTACATGCATTGGTAAGTTCACAAAATTGAGTCAATAAGATTGCTGGCTAGTTCTGTCAATAATTAGCTTATTGGAAATCAGGTTTTAGTCTGACGGGGATTGAGTAGTAGCTTTCTCATATATTTTAGAAATATGGATCACTGCGGTTGGTGTCAACTCTTGTGATACCAACGCGGGTTTAAATGATATATTCGGTGCTATTTTTTTGTGCCAGTCTTATATAGAACTCTTAATTTGATGGTATATATCCTCTTTTAAGTTTATTTTTCTGGATGTCAGCATCTCTGGCTTCTAGTCTGTCTGATGATTTGCTCGCAAAGGCGACAGTTCAAGTTGTGAAGAACTTAAGTAACAAGAATGCAAAATCGGAGATTACTCGTACCAATATTCAAATGATTGGAGCTTTATGGTACTTCCTGTCTATCCTTCTTGTCGGCATATTTGTTTTGTAACTTCTTACCTTACGTTGTTGTAGTTTGCTTCTGTTAGTGCTCCTTGTTCTACACATCTACATCTAGGCTTCCTGTGGTTGTGATGGTATTTAATTTGTTTATGTTTCAGTCGCGCTGTTGGATATCGATTTGGGACTCATCTAGGTAACACTGTGCCAGTATTAATCAATTACTGCACCAGCGCTTCAGAAAATGACGAGGAGCTGCGCGAGTATAGCTTACAGGTTTAATGCAAGACTCTCTAATGATAATTTTCTCACTAGGCGTGGATTTTATTTTTCTCATCTTATTTCTCAAACAGAAAATTACTTGGGCGTGCTTGTAGTCTCTTTTCTATTCCTATGCTATAAAGTTGGTAATCTTATTTTAGCTTTACTATAAGTGATATTAAAGATGGAGGCAATAACATGTCTATTCTGAAATTTGACTGCAGGCACTTGAAAGTTTCTTGCTACGATGTCCAAGGGATATCTCACCATATTGTGATCAAATTTTAAATCTCACTTTGGAATATATTAGTTATGACCCAAATTTTACGGACAACATGGAGGAAGATACTGATAATGAGACTCTTGAAGATGAAGAAGATGAGTAAGTTCTGTTTTGATCATTGAAACGATAACCTAGCTCTTTATGGTGTATCATTATCTCACTGACATAAGTCTTTGTTTCTCGCAGCGAGAGTGCAAATGAGTACACAGATGATGAGGATGCCAGCTGGAAAGTTAGGAGAGCAGCGGCGAAATGCTTAGCAGGATTAATCATTTCTCGTTCTGAGATGCTCTCAAAAGTATATCAAGAGGTATATCTTTTCTTGAAGATTTTTTTTCATCTTTTCACTTGCTTTTGATTAAATAAGAAACAAGAATCTACTGTAGACTTCATTGCTGAGGAATTCAATAAAATTCGTCTCTTCTTGTGCAGGCCTGCCCAAAACTAATTGATAGATTTAAGGAAAGGGAGGAAAATGTGAAGGTATGGAAAATAAATAATAGTCTATAATGCATTGCTATATGGTCATTGATCTGATACTCTGAGGTACTATTGTCACAGATGGATGTATTCAACACATTCATTGATCTGTTACGGCAAACAGGAAATGTTACAAAAGGTCAAACTGACACCGACGAATCAAGGCAAATATTCTTGATCCCTTCACTCGATCAGTATGGACATTCTGTCACTACTGACGAAACCCTGCTAACTAAATATATACCTTTCGTCGATGCAGTCCAAAATGGCTACTGAAGCAAGAAGTCTCCAAGATTGTGAAATCCATAAATAGGCAACTACGCGAAAAGTCTGTTAAGACAAAGGTATAAAAGCGTTAAACATTCTTTTTGGTTTTGTTTCTCTTTGATGCTTTCATAACTTACTCCCTATAGGTTGGTGCATTCTCCGTTTTGAGAGAACTTGTGGTTGTCCTGCCTGACTGCCTGGCTGATCATATTGGTTCACTTGTTCCTGGAATTGAAAGGGCGCTAAATGTTAGTGGATATAATTTGTACATTTTTTATGGACTGTCAGTGTTGCTCTTTTTCAAGTGCTCATGTGTCCTCTATTATTTCCCTCTCCAGGATAAATCTTCTACTTCAAACTTGAAAATTGAAGCTCTTGTCTTCACAAAATTAGTCTTGGCATCACACGCGCCACCTGTTTTTCATCCTTACATTAAGGTTGGGCAACATCAAGTTGTTTTCAGTCTATTGAAATATTGACCAAATTGTTCAACGACTAGTGCTGAGTCCATAGTCTTCCAAAACCAATGTTCAAAAGTAAATGAAGCTGATGACGGTTTCTATTACTGACCCTTAAACTCTTATGTCATTTTAGGCTCTTTCAAGTCCTGTTTTAGCCGCTGTTGGTGAACGCTATTACAAGGTTACTGCTGAGGCATTAAGGGTTTGTGGGGAACTTGTCAGAGTAGTACGCCCAAGTACTACGGTGAGTATCTCATTACTTGTACACACTTACTGATTCAGTGTCCTCTCTTGATGTAGTGTCAGTGTTTCTTTGCTTTAGAAGTTAAAACCATATATTTTACCCATAAACGACTCGCAGATTTTGCATCCACTGATTTTTTTCTTCTCTGATTTAGGGAATGGGATTTGATTTTAAGCCATTTGTTCATCCAATCTATAATGCGATAATGTCGCGCTTGACAAATCAAGATCAAGACCAGGTATGTGGCATGAATCTCCCTTTGTAGTCTTGTTTATGAAAATCCATGCTTTTTGGGGCATTGGACTTAATTTTCTTATTTGAACTCCTTCATTTCGTCATTATGATTAATTACAGAATTGGAAATTTCAAGCAGATTGCTGTGTATGTATTCGTAAATTTGTATTATATTCATTTTTCACTCTCTCTTCGCTTCAACAGGAGGTCAAGGAGTGTGCTATCACCTGCATGGGTCTTGTTATTTCAACATTTGGCGATCAACTGAAAGCAGAATTACATTCATGCCTTCCTGTGCTTGTTGATCGAATGGGAAATGAAATCACTCGCCTCACTGCAGTAAAGGTTGTCCTGGTGCTTCTGTTGAAGCTTTTATTTGAAAAAACTGTTTAGCTCATGTCTGTGATTCTGTTGGTGCATGCAGGCATTTGCTGTCATTTCCACTTCTCCGCTGCACATTGATCTTTCATGTGTCTTGGACCATTTGATTGCTGAACTGACGGGATTCTTGCGGAAGGTATATGGCTTCTTACCACCATATCTTAATAGGCATCAATTATGCACGTGTCTTCTAATTACATTCTCATAATTAAGAAACATCTCAGACAATACCTGGTCTTTAGGCAATTTGTATATACTTTTTTTTTTTGTAAAACAGGCTAATCGGGTTTTAAGGCAAGCAACATTAATTACTATGAATACCTTGGTAACAGCCTATGGTGATAAAATTGGTTCAGATGCTTATGAAGTTATTCTTGTGGAGCTTTCATCTCTAATAAGGTTTGTTTGATTCTCTAATGAATTTTCTGTACGTTACTTTCTAGGTTAGTGTTTTTATTAAAAAGGTTGTCTTTTTCAGTGTTTCGGACCTGCACATGACAGCACTTGCACTCGAACTCTGCTGCACTCTGATGACTGGAAAGAGTTGTAGTGAAAATATCAGTTTGGCTGTTCGCAACAAAGTTCTTCCACAGGCACTAACATTAGTTAAAAGCCCATTGCTCCAGGGTCAAGCACTTTTGGTAATTTTTTCGTTTCTGATGGATTTTTTTTTTTAAATACTTGGCCTGATGGTAAAGAAAAGAAGGCAATGATTTCTTGGATGCTTGTCACAGGATCTGCAAAAATTCTTTGAAGCTCTGGTGTATCATGCAAATACGAGTTTCTACACCTTGCTGGACTCATTACTATCTTGTGCTAAGCCTTCACCTCAGTCTGGAGGTGTCCCAAAGCAAGCATTATATTCGATTGCCCAGTGTGTGGCGGTTCTTTGTCTCGCAGCCGGTGATCAGAATTGTTCGTCTACAGTTAAAATGCTTATGGAAATCCTTAAAGATGACAGTGGCACAAATTCAGTAAGCAATTTAGATTTTAAGTTTGAGAGAAGCAATTTAAATTTTTAAGTTTGAAAGTCAGTAGGGATTAGATTCAGGCTTATTTTCCTGTGAAGCATTATGTTTTTTGATGATGGTTTTCTCGTGCAGGCAAAACAACATCTTGCCCTGTTATCTCTTGGTGAGATTGGGAGAAGGAAAGATCTTAGTGCGCATGCTGGGATTGAAACAATCGTCATTGAGTCTTTCCAATCTCCTTTCGAAGAAATAAAGTCTGCAGCATCTTATGCTCTGGGAAACATTGCTGTTGGCAATCTGTCCAATTATTTACCTTTTATCTTGGACCAGATTGATAATCAACAGAAAAAACAATATATTCTCCTTCATTCGCTCAAGGAGGTATGTTTTCCTGAACAAGTATTCATATTATATTATCAGAGTATATAAATTGCTATATATCATATCTTGTTCCTTGGTTTCAGGTTATCGTGAGGCAGTCTGTTGATAAAGCGGATTTCCAGAATTCCAGTGTTGAGAAAATTCTTGCGTTGTTGTTCAACCACTGTGAAAGTGAGGAAGAGGGTGTACGAAATGTTGTTGCCGAATGCTTGGGAAAAATGGCTCTGATAGAACCTAACAAGCTGGTTCCTGCACTTCAGGTAGAGAAAAGCTTCAGAACAATTGCTCTATCTGTATTTTACTCATTCGCTGTCATGCTTAATGATGGATAATATTTTCATGTATATTGAATTTTATAGGTGAGGACAACGAGTCCAGCGGCTTTTACTCGTGCAACTGTTGTTACTGCTGTGAAATACTCTGTAGTGGAAAGGCCTGAGAAATTAGATGAAATCATCTTCCCTCAGATTACTTCTTTCCTAATGCTGATTAAAGATGGTGACCGGGTAAGTAAATAATTTAGGCTCTTCTGATAACAGCGTAAATGACATTGCTGTGTAATTGATTATAACTTCTTTTTTCGGTTCCATGGTTTATGCAGCATGTTAGGCGTGCAGCTGTCTCAGCTCTGAGTACTTTTGCTCATTATAAACCAAACCTGATCAAAGGACTTCTCCCTGAATTGAGGCCTCTTCTTTATGATCAAACTGTTATTAAGGTAAATATCTTTAGGAAACTCAGTTAGTGATTACGCACTGTTGTTGTCCTTGTCATAACAATTTCAAAGGTTTTTAATATTCATCGCCTGAGACATCTCTCTCTTGCAGAAAGAATTAATTAGGACGGTTGATCTTGGCCCATTCAAGCATGTTGTTGATGACGGGCTAGAGCTGAGGAAGGCCGCTTTCGAGTGTGTATTTACTCTACTCGATAGTTGCCTAGATCAAGTGAATCCTTCTTCTTTCATTGTTCCTTTCCTCAAGTCCGGACTAGAAGGTGAGTGTTTCTGTCTTCAACTTATAGTTAATGAAGGTTTGGTGCTTTTTTTCTATCTTATAACATGAGTCCCTGTTTATGCAGATCATTATGATCTGAAGATGCTTTGTCATCTTATACTCTCCTTACTAGCAGATAAATGCCCCTCAGCTGTACTTGCTGGTATGTTTATTATAGCTTCCAAAACCATTATTTAAGACCCGAAATATAAGAGAGATTTTTTTTCTGATCTGTCTTTATGATATGATTATTTTCAGTACTGGACTCTCTTGTGGAACCACTGCAAAAAACAATAAACTTCAAGCCAAAGCAAGATGCAGTGAAGCAAGAGCATGATCGTAATGAAGATATGATCAGAAGTGCTCTTCGTGCAATAGCATCACTGGATCGTATCAATGGCGTGGACTATAGCCATAAGTTCAAGAGCTTAATGGCTGACATGAAGAGGTCTGTTCCATTGTGGGAGAAGTATCAGACCATCCGGAACGAATAGGTTTTTTTGTGTGTTTAATGTTGTCTCATTAAAAAGCAAATCGGTTATGATTTTCGGGTACAGCCAAAACAAAAAAAAAGAGTTGATAACATACATTTATGACACGGCGGAATCTTTGTTTTGCGTTTTTGGTCACTGACAATTTGAGAGTTTTCTAGCCTTGTTTTGCTTTTTGACGACTGTTAAGTGGAATATGTTTCATTTTCATACATACGTATATTCATAATAACACGCAGTACGTATCTCGAAAGCTGAGACGGCGCAAGCAATCCAACTCTGTATTCTCTTGGCATTGTCCATGGGGTTGTAAGGGATTAAAAGGAGCAAGTTCATTAATGGTCTTTGCTTTATATACCGTTCCAATCCAATGCAAATTTGATAGAATTTTATTGCATTTTTACTTCCATTGTTTTAAATTAGTTCTCATTTCTAAAATTAAATTTTAATTCAAATTAGTTGTCGTTTTTATGTTTTTAATGCATGGTTTAAACTAATTTTATTAATTAATGATGACAAAAATTTGATAATATCAAACAAAACAAGTGAATATAGTAGGGGTAAAATAAAATTAAAAATATACATAGAAAATCTTAGTGGTAAACGGTAAGAGTGATAAGTTAGGTTCCTCACCAGACCAGACGCCTCTTACAAAATTATCACTCGAAGGAGAAACAACAAGAATGTTGGGTAAATGCCGTATTAGTCGGCTCTATTGATCATAGTCAAAACATCAGAGGTCGAAAGATAAAACTAATCTTTGATTCAACTTACAAAAGAGCAGAAATCCACAGGTAATACCCGGGTGGGTTTAAGTCCTTTTGTTTTGTTTCTAGAGGTTTTACCGGAGACAGAAAAAGAGAGATTTGAAGTACCTTATAATTCTTACAAACAAAAAACATAAAATCTCTCATTCATCAGTGCCCTCACCATTACCAGACTTGAGATGAAGATGCTTCTCTCGCTTTTGGAAATCTGTCAATCCTTTCCCACTCCCAGTCACACCCACTTTTCCAAATGGATCTTCTGGTGATTTGAATATACTCTCTTTCTTCCTCCCTGTGAAGAACCCTACCTGCTCAACCAAAACACGTCTCAGGATCACTCTAAGAGTAAAAGCCATATAGATTTTCTGTTCCGGTATTTCACAAACCTTTTTAGTTTTGGCTTTCGTTGTCTGAAACTGTTGCCAAGCATTTTGTTTCTTGTTCTGTACAACCTCGAGTTGCTCTTGCCTCGCCTTTGACTTGAATGCATGTATCTTCTTACGCTTTGCTATTTTCTGTCAGAAACAAGTGAAGACATCTTTACACGACCTCATGGGACCAAAAATCAAAAGGGATGAAAACAGAAACTTGACTTACCACATCCTCTGGATCATTAGGATCAATTTTAAGCTTTGCTGGTACAGTTTTAGTTTGAAAGTCAGAACTCGCAGCCTGCTCTATCTTTCTTTTGAGAGCATTTTTGGTAGCTTCAGCTAATCTCTCAGCTTCCAAGAGAGCATTTTGCTCAATTGGCCTCACATTATCTGGATCAACCTATATTAATAACAAGGCAACCTCAACATTAGTTATTTTTAAAAAACCAAATATAACTGGAATGGAAGCATTACCTCTTCCTTGTTTCCCCACTCATCATAAGCAACAAAATAGCCATTTACAGTATGTGCCTCGATGGTCGCATCATACCTGAACATTTAACTAATCAAACAAAGAAAAAGGGGAAAAACACGTAAAGAATACAGTAGATACATCATGAATTACAAGAGACCCGAGAGTTTTCTAACATACCACTCGCCATCGTCACTAAAGACAGCTTGAACTTTTGTTCCAACGGGGAACTTACCCTCATGGATTGGGTCATTCCTTGACTCCTGAACAAACAATGAAATAAAATCAAAGTTAATAACCAAAATAAATATGTAGAAGCTCTAGAGTAACATGGATCTAACCTTAATGGTTATGAAAAGATTAGATGACATAGATAAACCTACCATTTTTTCCCAAGCACCCTCTAGATCGGGTGATCCAGCAGCTTCTCGAGCACTAACTCCAGCATCTGACAGAGAAATCTCATTTTGCTTCGCAGTTGTAAGAAGAGTCTCCGTCAACGCAATCACCTATGAGGTAAAAAACAAGTTTCAGAGATTTGAGGATTTCTAACAGAATCACACAGTATATATATTTAAGATTTGCGGAAGTAAAACTTCAGGAATCGAACACGAGAAATCAGGAGACAGAAGCAGGCTGGCCATCATGACCCATGTTAGCACACCTGCACGATAACCAAGATAGAAATGATGAATTCTTTGCTAACTCTCCTACTTTCATGTATACTCCAACAAGGCAACAACTGCTTTTGGCTGACCCAAACTCCACTGCCGGAGTTACATGGCACTTAAAAACATACTCACCTTTCAAACCCCAGAACTGAAACAAAACTCCACTGTGTCTGATGTTGTTGCTATTTCAAACAACATGTTGATTCCTTCAAAAGAGGGAGGGAATAGAAACATAAAGGGCACATTACACAAAACCTAGATGCTCAAGTAACTTAATCTTGTTTAGTGGTATATCTATGCCAAAAATGCTGAAGACATACAGATCAATGATTTTCACCCAAACCAAGGGAGACTAGTGAAATGACATCGACGACAAAGATGAAAAGATTTTGATCACACCAAAACCATGATTAAGTGACTAAAGTAGGAATTATCACCTCTTTAAGCTCCTTTTCCATGTCTGCATACTCCGCGTTTCGAGGGTCCTCTGACAAAAGCTGCCTAACCTGAGAGACCAAAGTGTCAAAATTCAATCAGATAAACTAGAGGAGAAGCAAGTACAAGCCAAAAGATCAATCAGATAGACTAAAAAGGAACAAGCACAGGCACATGAATCATTAAATTTCACAAGCAATCTTCCCATTAGTAAGAAAAACATAAAATCATCAAAAGCATGTACAAAAAATTCAAATTTTAAAAGAATTTGAAACCCTCGTGAAGTGAATTATCCGTTTTCAATCACAAATCTGATTAATTTCCAATGGACGAAGTTACGATGAAACGTAACAACACTTTCTCTATCAACAAATCCCTAAATAAACCATCCTTACGAACCCTAATTCAGGAACAATCACACAAATCCCTAATCTTGGATCAAAATCAAGGAAACCATACTCAATTACTCTTCTCAAGAATTCGAATTTCTAATACATACAAAGAGAAGACAATTCGAACCTGGTCGAGCTGTTCTTTGTACGTAGAGAGATTCGAAGCTAACTCTTCGATGCTCACTTCTTCTACTCCACCTTCCATCTTTTTCCTCCAAACTTAAACTCGATCTCAATTTCCTCTTTCAGATAAATTTCCCGATTGCTCTACACTGATCTTTCTCTTCTCCAATGGGGTTCGTTTCGTTTGTCGCGAAGATATTTTGGGAGAAAGAAGCAAAAAAGAAAAGAAAAGGGTAAAGCTTAATTCTAAAACAAAACTGCATGCCGTTTTGCACCGTATGGATGATTCTTTATAGTAAAAAACGCTGCGCGTTTCCTTAATCTGGAAATTAGCCCAGTATTTAATAACTCTCATAGATTTATCCCAAAATAAATGAATGTTTCAATATACCCCCTCATAGGTTTCATACAATCAAATCTAATTTATGTCTGAGGTTTAAATTTGTGTTGTTCGGTTGAATGATTGAAAGGGAACTGTTGTATTCATACGATGTCACTGTGACTAGTCTATCATTATAAATGTATATAAACCTCATATGCACATTTACAAACAACATATTGGTCAAGATCAACAACATTACATCTCCATCCACTTAAACAAAAGGTTGTCCATGATCAAGACCCTGGATTCAAGTATGATTCTTGTACGCGTACGAGTACTGGTTTTGGATATGAGTGTATCAACCAGGATTGTGACTTCATCTAGTATGTGCTTCAATTTCTGAACCTTTTTATTACCAAGGCCATCAACACAACTTGTTCCTATCGTTAGATCCAAAAGAAAAGCCAGAGTGCCACATTTGCAAGTCAACGACAAATAAAAAGGTACTTAATTGCATTGAATGTGACTTTATTATATACTTCGAATGCGCTACCGTACCATACCTATGATGAACATTACCTCACATTTTGTCGTGGATATGAGGCAAGTGACTCAGATTGGTGTGAATGATGCGAAGGCAAATTAGCAATAGGATGAAAAGAAGGGTTCTATAAGTGCAATGGTTGCTGCACCACACTTCATATTAGTTGCTTACTTGGCCCTGATCCATATGTGAAGCCTGGTCAAACTTACCCAATAATGGATGGTGAGATTCTTTTTCAACGCAACAACTCTGCTCGGCCTATTTGCTCTATATGCGATATCCGTTGTCAGTATCCAACAATTTTGGTGTACACAGAGCCAGAGGATGTGATTTCTTATTTTCTATGTTCTATTGCACACTTCAAAAAGAATAGACAATAACTATATGTTTTTTTTTGTTTGTTAAAAGATCCTCCACATTCTCAATGCACACACAGCTAAACAATCATTTTATATGATCTTTTTAACCTGCATTGTCTTAGGAAGAAACATAACATGATCGAAATGAAAGTTCAAAGCCACAAAATACCAATGATTATTTGCTCTCTCTTTTGTAAGACAAAATTCTAATGAGTGTAATCTACCAAGTAACTAAATCAACAAACCACATACGAGAGATTCACTAAAAACATTGGAAAAAAACTGAGTTCTTAAGATTTTCATCTTTATTAACTTCTTTAAACATTTTATCAACCTAAGGACAGATTCTTGTTTATCACAAATAAATGAATTCATTCGATATAAAATGTCTAGTTAGATTTTTAATATTTTAGTTATTAGAGTTTGATGTATGAGGATAAACTTAATATATGTGTAATTGATTGATTCAACAACGATCAGATGAACAAGCATCAAAGCAAAAATTCAAAAATGGCGATTTCGACATTACTCTCAATCTCTTCTTTCACTCTATCTTCTTCCTCATCAACAAAAACCCATCTCCGAACTTCAACACCCACTACTAGGGTTTATTCGAATTCCCCGAAATTGAATCAAAATCGTTTCCTACAGAGTCAAAGTTCCAGTCTTTTCTACCCATTACGCCGCAATTTCACCAGATTCTGTTCTTCTCCAGATGGGTTTCTCAGAAACACCAAAGACGACGAAGAAGGAAACGAAAGCATTCAGCTTCCGTCAATTGGTGTAAACCCTGTGAAATTCGCAGTATGCGTTGTGTTGTGGGCTTCTTTGTCTTTGCTTTGGTTTGCTAGGTCTGGAGATGCCAAAGCCGCTACTGATTCAATCAAATCGTCGAGCTTTGGTCTCAGAATCGCCGCCACTCTTCGCCGTTTTGGTTGGCCAGACGAAGCTGTGGTGTTTGCTTTAGCCACACTTCCTGTTATTGAGCTCCGTGGTGCCATTCCCGTTGGTTATTGGATGCAGCTAAAGCCTACAGTGCTCACTTTCTTCTCTGTTCTTGGGTTAGTCTCTTAAATCTTCACTTCCTGCAAAATTATAACACTAAAGGTTTAACATTTGATTAGTTTAGCCACATCTTGATATTGGTGTTGATATTGTTCACAGAACAGAGTTTCCAAGTGTCTCATTAGGGATTTTGGTGTTACACAAAGTATGAATTGGCACACGTTTCTGTTGTGTTATTGAATCTTTGAACTAAGCATAACGTGTTCTCGGATCAGAGTTTTTCATGAGTCTTTAATGTATGGTGAATTGATGATAACTTGTGTGTGTTTGTGTGTGTGTGTGACAACTGCTATATGTCTTCTTTGAGAACACGTTCCTGTTCTTTAGTTGAATCTATTATGCCGATATTAAGGTTGAAAAAACAAAGTTTAACAAGTGTTCTCAGACTAGAGGTTTAACGATTTTTGTTTTTCCAATCTGTCTTGTTTGAGGAACACCTTTCTGAGGTGTAGTTGAATCTGTGAGATTGAGGCCTATGATGATAAGTTAGAAGCAAACAGTCAAGCCATTTTTCCATATGATTCACATTATATAAGCAACATGAAGTGACACTGAAATTGGGTTTTTGCAGCAATATGGTTCCAGTGCCATTCATCGTACTATACCTAAAAAAGTTTGCGTCTTTCTTGGCGGGTAAGAGCCAAACAGCTTCTAAATTACTCGACATCTTATTCAAAAGAGCTAAAGAGAAAGCTGGACCAGTAGAAGAGTTCCAATGGTTAGGGCTAATGCTCTTTGTAGCTGTTCCGTTCCCTGGAACCGGTGCTTGGACAGGAGCTATAATAGCATCGATCCTCGAGATGCCGTTTTGGTCTGCTGTTTCGTCTAACTTCTGCGGGGTAGTGTTGGCTGGACTGTTGGTGAACTTGCTGGTGAATCTTGGTCTGAAACAAGCTATTGTGGCTGGTATTGCTCTCTTCTTTGTATCTACGTTTATGTGGAGTGTTCTCAGAAACATTAGGAAGTCTATAAAACCATCTCTGCCTTGAATTAGTTATTAGATATTTAGTTGCAGCAGAGTTATTCACATTTTTGCCTTTTTTCTTTTTTTCTCTTCAACTGTTTATAATGTTTTAAAGTGATTTGGTGTTGGTCTTCTTATCCCCAAATCCAATTCACTCTTTTCATAAATCCCTTACTGTAATATGAAATTATTGTAATTTATCACTCCAATATCATAGTAGTTCCATCACTATGAATATACTAAACATAAACTACACCATAGCAGGACAACGATGGGGATGTAGCTCAGATGGTAGAGCGCTCGCTTAGCATGCGAGAGGTACGGGGATCGATACCCCGCATCTCCATTTCTTTTTTCAGTATGAGGCTTTATATATATAGCGTAATAAAGCCCATTATTTTGTTTGAGAAGCCCATTAAAAACCTTTTTCTGTCGCATGGCTTTAGTGTTAAAGCCCAATTATTATATATATAGCCCTTTCAATGGTTTTGTTTCTCGGATTACACAAGAAGTCAAATCAAGTGATTAAATCATCCCCACAGTAAACAAATCCGAACGTTGTAAATTTTACAACGGTCATCAAAATAGTAAAATTTTAAACTAACAAAACCCAGTACATCTCTATGTAAAAACCACTCATTCACCAAAAAGGATATATGTAAAAATTACTCTGCAAATTTATCTCTCTGTAAATCAAATTTGGTCGACCAATGAACTGAAGGTGGTGACTGTGGTTCGTATTCTTAGGAGGAGAGTACAACTTTATTCTATTTCAAGGTTACAACTCTTTTCTCTCTCTCTCTCTCTCTCTCTCTGCTGTGTCTCTCTTATTCTCATTAGTGATTTATTTACATAAATTTTATGATCACAAAAGAACGGTTTAGTTTTGGTTTATGTGATAGTTCATACTAGAAAACGTTTAGCTTTTGTATTCTTCTTCAACAATTCTCTAATTAATCGCTCAAGATCAAGTTTCCTCTACTGTATGTTTTTACTTTTGATTTTACATATATATACCTCTTCTTCGTCTCTGATTTTTTTTGTTTGCTACGTAATTCAGTTTTAAAAGCTTTGACTTTCTATTTTTACTTTAAAAGGAAACGTTTTTGTTTTTGGTTGACAAAAAAGGAACCTCTATGGAAAATACAATAGAAAATATCTTACGACTCAAACTGATGAATGTGGGAAAATTGCAGACAAATATCGTCAGAAGGGCCAGCCAGAGGCAGAACCAAACCAGTAGGTAGCGATACCATTTCAAAACGAGTGTGTGTAGAGCCTTGATAATGTGTAGCGATCTCTTTGCTACCCAAGTCAACCAGGTACATTGCTTTTTTCATTTCTTTTTTTTCTTTCCTTTTTTATTTGTTTGTTTTGTGTGTGTCTTTTTCCTATTTTCCCCATTCTTTAAATTAATCTTAAAAAGTGTTTTTAATCAAAAGTTTAATTTTCTTCCTGATATAATACTTTTAAATTCTTTTTAAATCATTAAATATTTTACTCTAAGTAAATTAAACATTTTTTAAAAAATAGTTTAAGTTGTGAATTTTAATACGCTGAAACAAACCGAGCTATTAAACGTTTTTTTAAGAATAGTTTAAGTTGTGAATTTTAATACGCTGAAAACAAACCGAGCTTATGCATCCAGTCCTTAGGAATTTCCTCTGGTTCGTCAGTTTGGTGTTGTAAGTTCAACATGTTTTCACGTAGTATAAATTTAACACTTAAACTAATTTTCAAAGAGTTAAAGAATATAATGTTTTAATCTAAATTATTTTAACTCACAAATTTAATTAAACATTTTCTTTTAAAAGTTAGTTTAAGCTGTTAAATTTTAAATACGATGAAAACAAACCGAGTTTATGCATCCAGTCCTTAGGAATTTCCTTTGGTCCGTCAGTTTGATGTTGTAGGTTCTACATGTTTTCTCGTAGTATAAATTTAACACTTAAACTAACTTTCAAGAGAGTTTTTCTTTAGGAATTTTATAATAATAAATTTTAATACGTTGAAAACAAACTAAGCTTATACATCAAATCTGAGCTTATACATCCAGTCCTTAGGAATTTTCTCTGTCCGTCAATTTATGTTTTATGTTCCACGTATAAATTTAACACTTAAACTAACTTTTAAAGAGTGTTTTCTTTCCAAAATAAGATTTTTAACTAAATTTTTTTACCTCACAGAATATTTTAAAATAAATAGATTAAATGTTTTTCTTATCAAATTTATTAGAACTGAATACAAATTGTATGCTTGCGGAATTTTATCACAAAACTGGTGTTATCTTATGGGATGAGCGTTCAAAAGTTTTTTGGACAAAAATAGCATTCAAATAATAATTATTTTAAATATAAAAATTAACAATTAAGAAAATTCCAAAAGTTCACCAATTCATCACCAAAAATTCCCGACAATATTTTGTGTGTCCAAAACATGAGACTATTTGTTCTAATATGGTCGAAAGATTTTATACTAACAAAATTTAGGGGATACTATATAATAAATATTTGATAGCATGATTTCGGATGGAAAATTTGGGACCAATGTTATAATAGGAATACCGGTCGCAAATTTGGGAACCAATGATTGCATTGGGCTTTATTTTAGTCATTGAAAAGCCCGTGGAGAAAGACATCGTACTATATAAATGAACAAGGTCTAGAAGAAACCCTCACAATTCTTTTTAGCTTTTTTCACTGTCTCGGTCTCGCAGTCGCAGAATCATATCCACGTCGCAGTCTCGAAGTCGCAGAAGCAGATCCAGAAAGGTAGTTTCTTCTCTCTCGTTTCTCGCTCAACTGTGTAGAAAAAGGAAGTTCGATTTTGAGATCTAATACCACTGTTGTGACACTGCGGTTGAGCTCAAATACTACCGCCAAGGAAGAACATTGGTTACTGTTAGTGAGGCCTTTTCCGAGTCTGTTCAGAGCCGCAAGCAGGTGTCCCAATGTTCGAGTGTCGGCTTCAGCTGGATTCAATATCTCGAGCACGTGCGAATGCAATGCTGGCATCACATTCACTAAACAGGACAACGGATCCCGTCTCTGATCATTGATATTTCCATCAACTGGATTTCGTGTTGCTCCTGGCCGAAATTTTGCTCTAGGTCACTCAGTCACTTGATTCATATCTTAAAAAAGAATAAACAAAGTTGAAGAAGCAAGCGGCGGCCGTCATGGATTCATCGCCGCCGAAGACTATCACCAATAGGCTGCCGCGTTTCTCTGAACTCAAACCTCCGCTCTCAGAAGATATCATCGAGGCGCTTAACTGGTCCGGTTTTGAGGTCTGCACTCCGGTTCAGGCCGAGACGATCCCTTTGCTCTGCAGCCACAAGGATGTTGCCGTGGACGCAGCCACTGGTTCTGGAAAAACCCTAGCTTTTCTCCTTCCCCTAGTAGAGATTATCCGTCGATCCAGCTCCTACCCTCCGAAGCCACACCAGGTAATGGGGGTGATTGTATCTCCAACGAGAGAGCTATCAGCGCAGATACATAAAGTGGCTCAGCCGTTTGTCTCGACTTTGCCTAACGTGAACTCTGTTCTGCTTGTTGGAGGTCGAGACGTTGAAGCTGACATGAATACTCTCGAAGAAGAAGGAGCCAATCTCTTGATCGGCACCCCTGGAAGGCTTTCAGATATAATGAAACGAATGGAGTTTCTTGATTTCCGAGATGTTGAGATTCTTATCTTAGATGAGGCTGATAGACTTTTGGATATGGGGTTCCAGAAGCAGGTCAATTACATTATCTCTCGCTTACCAAAGCAACGTAGGACTGGACTCTTTTCAGCTACACAAACACAAGCTGTTGCAGAGCTGGCCAAGGCTGGCCTTAGGAATGCTATGCAAGTTCAATCGGGAGCTGAGTCTAAGTCCAAAACGCCTTCTGGTCTGTATTGTGAGTATTTGGAATGCGAAGCAGATCAAAAGTCATCACAACTAGTGCATCTCTTGATCGAGAACAAAAATAAAAAGCTTATTGTGTAAGTTTTTTTACAACATTTGTTTGTCTCAAACAAATTAAGCATCGTTTTACAGATAGTGTAACTAGTAGTATCTCTTGTGCAGATTCTTCATGACATGTGCTTGTGTTGATTACTGGGGACTCGTACTTTCGAAAATTCATAGCCTCAAGTCCATTTCCTTCTTTCCCACCCATGGGAAGATGGATCAGAAAGCTAGAGACAAGGCATTAGCTTCGTTTACAGAGGCATCAAGCGGTGTCCTTCTATGCACAGATGTCGCTGCACGCGGACTTGACATTCCAGGCATCGATTACGTTGTTCAGGTGGATTGATTAATGTTTGTTATGCCCATCTTTGTTGCAATGGAGGTTATTAATAGTATGTAACTGGTGCAGTATGACCCCCCACAAGACCCAGATGTATTTATCCATAGGGTTGGCAGGACTGCAAGAATGGAAAGACAAGGGAGGGCCATTGTGTTTTTAATGCCCAAGGAGATAGACTATGTAGAGTTCATGCACAGACGAAAGGTCCCTCTTCAGAAGAGAAAATGCTCTGAGAACGCTTCTGATGTTATCCCGATTGTAAGAAAACCTCCACTTATCTCTTGCTCTCGCTCTCTCGGCCATAATAATTGATACAATTGTAAAATGCAGATACGTTCACTAGCCATCAAGGACCGGGCAGTGTTGGAGAAGGGATTACAGGCATTTGTTTCCTTTGTCCGTGCTTATAAGGAGCATCACTGCTCTTACATTTTCAGGTTCATTTTTTTTTCCTTGAGTTTTGCTAAAATATGTTAGCTTTTGTAACTCAATTCTTTTTTTCCCTTAAATTTTACAGTTGGAAAGGACTTGAAATCGGGAAATTAGCCATGGGATATGGGATCTTGTCTTTTCCTTACATATCAGAAGTTAAACAAGACAGAATTGGCATTGTCGGTTTTACACCTGTCCAAGGCATCACGTTTGAGGACATAAAATTCAAGAACAAGTCTCGGGAGAAACAAAGACAGCAAAACTTACTAGCAAGGAAAGAGAAACCGCAACAAGAGAAACGCAAGAAAAGCTCCAAAGTGGCGGTTGATGATTCTAACAAAGCGTCGAGAAAGAGAAAGTTAACGGGGAGGCAAAGACAAACTATCCAAACAGCTCAAGATGAAAAAGAAATGAATGGAGATTATAGCTTACTGAAAAAACTGAAGAAAGGTTCAATTACAGAAGATGATTTTGCAAAACTTACAGGAGCAGCTGATGATTTTGTCTGATAAAAGAAAGAAGCAAGAAAACCTTTCAGGCTTGTTGGACTAGAGCTGCAGAGATGTCAACGACTATTTATTATAACAGAGAATTAAAGATAGAACCAAAAGACATTTTGCTTTTTTTTTTTCTTTTTTTTTGTCATCGCGATTAGATCATATATTACATAATATCATATTGAGAGAGAACAGGAATTATAATGTCCTATGAATCAACCTGACACATTTTTAATTAAAGAACTTAATCATCCATGTACAATAAGCAATAAACTTATCCATATGCCTTGTATTTTATGTTAGAATTGATCTCATCAACGACGTATGATTTCTAAACAACCACTAACTATTAGAAGTTGACTTAATCATCCAGCCAATTCGGTAACGCTACCACTACTTTTCATTGTTTCTTTATACTATTAAAAAAAAAAAAAAACTTTTTAGAAAACTTAAATCTTGGTACAATACTACTTTCATAATGAAAGTCTCATTGTTTCAAGCCAAATTGTTGGAGTATATATTTTTCGTTTTTGTTTGACAAATGACAATACTAATTATTGCAACAATTTTTGTTTGACTATTACATTTTCGATTCATCTGGTGGCGTCACTAATTAATCTGGTTGGTAACGCTACACACTAAACGTGAACGTAACACGCCAACAACCAAACTGTCCAAGTTTAATCGGTCCAACTAGTACTACACGATTCTCATACAACTAACTTTACCACAATTATTTGTGTTTTTTGTTTTTTTGTCCAACCCTAGCTGTACGTAGAGAGTTAATTTAATGAATTTGTACATTAAGATCATGTATTATAATTAATAATGATTAGACAAATTCAAAAACAAGTTGCAAATGGAAAGCTAGAAACTCAAAACGTCGTGCTCTCGTCTATGACTGCGTGTATATATCGGAACAAAGGAGAAGAACAAATATATACACCAAACCAAAAAAGAATCTCCGAGTGAGCAGCAATGGACTTGTTCGGAGAATTTCATAAGGCTGAAATCGATGAGAAACCATTTCTGGTATACCACAACGTTATAAAACCTTTACCACAAATACAAACACCAAACTCCTTAGATAAAGTATCCATTGATCTCCCTGATCCTCAACCTCGGCTTTTCTTATGCCCTAGACTCCGAACCCGAATGCTATTGAACTCTCTGGATGATGAGAGAGGTGGTGAGGAATCTAACCAAATCCTTTCCAAGTACGATTCTTCCCCACTCTTTGATGACACTAGTGACGGTCATCATCATGTACTCCCTTTGTTTTGGTGCAACAACAAAGAAGTTGATCCAGAAGCAGAAGAAGGCGATGAGTGCTATTCTTGCTCTATCCAAACCATCGGTACGGACTATTATTTCTGTTTCACGTGTGACAAAAGGTTCCACAAAGAATGTGTCGAGTGTCCACTTAGGATTACTTATCCTTCCCACGTCAAACATTCTCTCCAACTCTTCTATTCTAAATATAGATCCGACTATTGCATCTATTGTAGAGAAAGAGCAACCTATATGATTTACTTTTGTGCTCTTTGCGACAGCTACATGCATGTCCTTTGTGCTCAGGCAGCAATACCTTTCTTTATAGACCAACCAAAAAGGCATGACCATACCCTCACCCTTTTCCCTAGACAAGCTTCCTTGACTTGCAATATTTGTGGTTTGGTAAATAAACTTCATCTCACCTACGTCTGTCCTATATGCGATTTCGTAGCCCATAGTGATTGTGTATATATCCCACAAACCATAAGAATATCTCGCCACCACCATCGTGTCTCTTTTATGTCTTCCCTTCCTTTTGAAGAAATGTCTTGCGGAGTTTGTCGTCAAACGATTGACATTGACTATGGTGCATACACTTGCAAAGGGTGTAGTGGCTATGTCGTTCACATAAGATGTGCACTACGTAAAGATATATGGGATGGGAAAGAACTCGAAGGAGTACCCGAGATAGTAGAAGAAGACGTTGAGTCCTTCGAGAGGATAGCTGATGGAGGAATACTCCATTTTTCTCATCGCCATCATTTGAAGTTTGGGACTAGTGGAGTTTACGATGGAAACAAGTTTTGTCAAGCGTGTGTCCTTTCAATCAACGAAGGGAATTTTTATGCATGTGCGGAATGTGATTTCGTCCTACACGAGACATGTGCAGATGCTCCACGCAAAATGGTCCATCCGTTACATCCCCATCCCCTTAAACAAAAGGCTGATCATGGAGGCGATGTATTCAAATGCAGTGCTTGTATGCGTAAGAGTAATGGTTTTGGATATGGGTGTACCAACCAGAATTGTAACTACATACTAGATGTAGTGTGTGCTTCGACAGCTGAGCCGTTTAATTACCAAGGCCATGAACACCCTTTATTCCTATCGTTAGACCCAAAAGAAAGGCCAACGTGCCACATTTGCAAGTCAACGAAATATAAGAAGGTACTTAATTGCATTGAATGTGACTTTATTATATGTTACGAATGCGCCACCTTACCATACATGGTAAGGTATAAGCATGATGAACATTACCTCGCGTTTTGTCGCGGAGATGAGGCAAGTGACTCAGATTGGTGTGAGTTATGCGAGGGGAAGTTAGCAATTGGAGGAAAAGAAGGGTTCTACAAGTGCCAAGATTGCTGCACCACGCTTCATATTAGTTGCTTACTTGGCCCTGATCCATATTATAAGGCTGGTCAAACTTGCGAAACTAGTGAAGGTGAGATTCTTTTTCAACGCAACAATTCTGCTTCTCGGCCTATTTGCTGTGTATGCAATATCCGTTGTCCGTATCCGATAGTTACGATATACACAGAGGATATGGTTTCTTATATTCTATGTACTATTAAACACTTGACGAGTACTTGACGTAAAGAAACAATTCAGTTACGTTGTAAATTCTATGTTCTTTTTCTTTTAAAAGTTTTAGGTGTACATGACATGCAACACTTGTTCTGTTGGTTTTCTTTTGTTGTATATATATATATTAAACAAGATTCATTTGCAAAATATAATTTGAAGATGTTAAACTAGACCAAACATTTTTGGTTGAAGAGTCAAAATATAATTTGAAGATGTCAATCTCCCACTACGATATAAGAGTGCATGGCCAAAGGTTATTTTCTTGAAAATGTTCCATTTTAGCCTCTCCTAGTTTTAAAACCTTTGTTCCAAGTTGACTTCTATTGGATCGATAATATACATGGCTGGCTATTATTACATTGCATTATTTCGAAAATCTATATATAATAGCAAACCCAATTTTTGTTTACTGTTGATGTCATCTTTTGAATCTAACGGTTCACATTGATTTTCATTTGATCGAAAGGTTATTGTTTAATCTCAGAATATAGAAAAGCTAAAAATGTGTCTTTTTAAAAGGATGTGTCTTTTAAATGAGTCTTTTAAAAAAGATGCATCTTTTAATAAAAAAACCCCTGTAATTTAATAAATGCAATGTTTCACAGTCACACTCTTTCGTTCTATATATAAATATTCTACATCTCTTTGTTTTTAGTCTTCAAACAAGAAAGAGCTAGGGGGCTCGTTTGACTATTAAAAAAAACTATTGACTGTTTTGTTTTATTTCATTTAAAATTTTTTTTTTTTTGAAACAATTGTTTCTTCAAATTTTGTTTTTCCAATCCTATTTGACTTTAAATTTGCTTAGCCATTATTATCTAAAGGTATTAATGGTTATTACCTCTTTGTTAATTAGTTGCTCAAACCCACTTTTTATGGTTGCTGGGATCATCGTTTTAATCTAACATATGAGATTGTTTCCGTTATCTCATCTAACTGTTTATATTTGTTAATGATCCCAAAAATTGCAAAGTTTTATACCCAACAATTGTGTTTATTCGTCATACCTCTAGCTTAAAAATTTCGCACTTGTTATTTTCTCACACCTCTTTGTTTGTATATATAGATTTCTGTGGACCTTGAAAATAGATTTTGTTTCTCTGAGTACTGTTTCACACCTCTGAAATTTTAAAAATCTAAATATTGTTTTTCCGATTTATTAGTCTTCATTGATTGACCATATTCGTTTAAATATGACTGTTTTATTTATTGATTTCCTTATCCAACCTCTGTTTGGTATCGTTTTCCATCTTATACATGCATTGATTATATTTTCGATGTATTAATCTAGGTAACTAATTTTGACTATCAGCCTACTTCTCTTATTACTTTTTTTGGGGTAAATTTCAATAGAATAATGATTTGATTTTTTTTTTATGTTTGTGTGAATACCTTTCATATATCTTGTTAACATTGCTCTCTTCTTGTCACTGAATTGATTTCTTCATTTGCAATAAAATTATTAATTGATCAATTTAACTTCAAAAAAGTATAAAAACTCATATAAATTGTAGTAACATGGCCATAGATTTACACTCAAACATCATCTGGTTTGTTTTGTTTCATCTTTCTCATTTTATTTTATATTATGATAAGCGTTTAAACTTATAATTTCTACTCCCTGTTTTATTGTTTGATTAGTGACTTCACTAAATATTTATTGTTTAATTATACTTCTAAATTTCTACAAGAATCAGTTACAAATTATTGTTTCAAATTGTTATGTTTTATTTATTTATTATTATTAATTATAGGTTGGTGTTTTGATACAACAATATTCATTGGTATTTATAGTTGAATTCTATGTGTAGATACAATTGGATATGATTCTAATATATATTGGGATTTGTGAAATGTAATTTGCAGCAAGATCACCCTTAAATTTATAGCTCATGTTTTGATAAAATCATAAGGTTGATATATCATAAGCATACAAGAATAAGAAGTTGTTTCATATTGATCTTTGTCCTATGAAAAGTCGTGCCATATGTAGATGACTCACCAAAACACCAAGTATATGTTCTTTTAAATATAATTGACAATAATTTGTCATTGTAAATTTTTTTTCCTTAAATTGAAACATATTCTTTCTCATTGATGTTTCTTTAGGCATTGTTTATGTTCCTATAATGTTATGTTGAATTTGGTTGAATCTATAAAGTTGTCTCATTAGTTTTATGGGACTAATGATTCGTTGGTGTTGGAAACATGTATTATGATAGAAATAGTTGAGCTTTCTATCCAAAAAGTTTGTTAGATTTTGTAAATGGAAAATGCATGAATCTTTAATATTCTTTTAAGGGCAGTAGCTATAAGTTCATTTCATAATTGTGTTGACAGCTTTGTTTTTTAAATAAAGCAAAATAAGGGGCATGTTAAGAGTAACAAATGGCCGTTCATAAATGTTGAATTCTTTTGACTCTTTAGGATCATCAGTATTAAAATGCAGTGATACCAACTGAAAAATAACATTTGAAAGATAAAAATAAAATTGTAAGAAAGCTTTCTCAGTCTCAAAAATCTAATATATCATAATATAGAAAACGTTATTTAACAATCAATTTTCCACTCGAAAACGTTATTTAACAATGTTAATTATTTTAAATTTTCGTTTTACTGTGCGGCAATGCACGGGCTGACAGCCCTAGTAAGATTATAATAATAAATCCAATTTGAGAAGATGGTTCACAACCAATTACTTGGGAAAACGATCTCATCATCAACGATTTGAGAAATAGTCAAGCTAGATCAACTTGGCACATAGTATATCTATTAGAAAACGATCTCATCATCAACGATTTAACACGACCAAATAAGAGGTCTAACATAATCATTCCAACTCAGGCCAGACAATTCGGTATTCGAGTCATATATAAATTATCTCACACATCCTTCAGTTTAAATATAAAATAAATAAAAAGTAAACACAACATAGCTGTGACAATAATACATATATAATTTTTGAAACTGAGTAAATTAAAATATATCAAACCAACCTTAGTTGTCACTAATTTTTAATTTCACAACATAGCTGTATCTGTTTTTTTTTGTCAACCAGCTTAGCTGTAGTATATAAAGTTTATACAATGACTTTCTACATTAGGATTTGATATAATTATATACTTACCCGCGTAATACAATAATGTAAACAAATACTAAACAAATTGCAAAATGGAGTTGTTTAAGCCTTGCAAAGCTTTGAAAACTAAACTCATTTCAGTCTATCTGTTTTTATATAGACATATCCCAAAATCCTCAAAACTAATCTCCGAGTGAGGAAGCCATGGACTTGTTCGGAGAATTTCAAAAGGGAGAAATCGATGGGAAACCATATCTCCTATACCACAACGTAATGAAACCATTACCACAAATACAAACCCCAAACTCCTCAGATGAAGAAACCACCATCCAAAAACCATTACCAATCCAAAACAAAACAAACTCCTCCGAGAAACTCCCTCTTCAACCTCGTCTACGTTTCGTATGCCCTACGTCACGTCGCGATTTAACAGTGAGTGATGGGAATATTACAACATGTGATGAAGACGGGTTACTACTACCTGATCTCTTTTTCAAGCTCACCATTTCCCCTCTCTCTGGTGACAATACGTCGTATCGTCATGTCGTATTCCCGTCATGGTCCAACAATAAAGAATCTGATCTTGTCAATGGTTGCGGTATATGTAAAACCCAAATGGTCGGCACAAACACTTATTTCTGTGTCGCCTGTAATGAAAGGTACCACAAAGAATGTGTCGAGTCTCCACTTGAAATCACTTATCCTTCCCATGTCAAACATTCTCTCCAGCTTTACTATTCTAAGAAACTATCTGAGCTTTATTGCATCATTGTTCTCTTTGCGACATTTATATTCATCCCATCTGTGCTCAGGCGGCAATACCGTTTTTCATAGACCAACCAAGAAGACATGACCATACACTCAGCCTTTTCCCTAGACAAGCTTCCTTAACTTGCAATGTTTGTGCTTTGGTCAATAAACTTCATCTCACCTACGTTTGTCGTTCCATATGTGATTTTGTAGCACATAAGGATTGTATATATATCCCACAAACCATAAGAATATCTCGTCACCAACACCGTGTCTCTTTCGCATCTTCTCTTCCAGTAGGAATATCATCTTGTGGAGTTTGCCGCCAGGAGGTTGACCGTGAATATGGCGGATACACTTGCAAAGTGTGTAGTGGCTACGTTGTTCACACAAGATGTGCATTGCGCCAAGATATATCAGATGGCATTGAACTCGAAGGAGTACCAGATGAAGACGGCGATATTAAGCCGCCATTCAAGTTCATATCTGATGGAATAATACTCCATTTTTCTCATGGCTGTTATATGAAATTTGACGGCCGTGGAGTTTACGACGGAAACAAGTTTTGTCAAGCGTGTGCCCTTCCAATCAACGAGGAAAATTTGTATGAATGTGCGAAATGCGATTTCATCATACACGAAAGATGTGCAGAAGCTCCTCGTAAGATGTTTTATCCATTGCATCCTCATCCACTTAAACAAAAGGTTGTCCATGACAAGAACGTATTCATATGTGAAGCATGTGACCACATATGTAATGGTTTCGGATATGAGTGTACGAAGGAGGATTGTGATTACATACTAGATGTAGTATGTGCCTCAGCTTCCGAGCCATTCAACTATCAAGGCCATCAACACCCCTTATACCTAGCGTTACGCCCAAACGTAAAGCCAATATGCCGTATTTGCAAGTCAGCAAAAGATAGCCAGGTATTTAACTGTATTGACGACGAATGTGACTTTATTATATGTTTTGAATGCGTTACATTGCCATACATGGTAAAGTATAAGCATGATGAACATTACCTCACATTTTGTCATGGAGATGAGGCAAGTGGCTCAGATTGGTGTGAGTTATGCGAGGGGAAATTAGTACTGAGAGCTGGAGGGAAAGACGGATTCTATAAGTGCAACGATTGCTGCACAACGATTCATATTAATTGCTTACTAGGCCCTCATCTATATATGAAGCCAGGTCAAACTTTTACATTTGGTAATGAATGGTTAGTTATACGCAACACTTCTCCTCGGCTATTTTGCTATGTTTGCAATATGCGTCGTCCGTATCCAATCATTTTCCTATATGAAGGAGAAAGGTCATCTCCTCGTACTCTGTGTAACATGAATGGTGATTGTTGAGTTATCCCTTCTCTTTTTTTTTTTTTTTAATTTCAATTTTTAGTATGTACTTTTAGCTTCTTCTTTTTCTCTTACATAATTTATAATTTTATGTATATATATGAAAATAACGAATTTGTAAAGTAAAAACCCGGAGATTTTATAGAGATTATGATTAGTAAAGACTTAAATTTACTTGCCGTCAAATTAGTTTTTTTTGACTGAATCACGTATACAAACTAGTTCAAGATCTCTCTATCCACATTCAATGACATACGTGAATTTTCGGGAGCACACAGACTCACTAACAAATCTGAAAGACTTTATTCATGTACAACGATTATACAAATATATAGTAAAGATGTGATATTGTCCAATTCACTCCATACTCTTCTCTACTTCTTTCTAAAACACATTCTTTCTGGCTTATATTAGCATGTCACCATGGACAAGCTCCTGACTGCAACTCTAACCGCACCGACCACACTAAGTTGCCTCGTCTCCGGTCTCAGCTCGTTATTTTCCGTATTTCTGCAACTTTCTTCTACCTGAACACCTACAAAATATGCTGTCTGAAACCAAACATATAAGCAGAAAAGAACAGAGCAATCAGTTCACTGGATTCTCAAAGTCATAAAGATTTTGGTTGCAATGTGTTTGTTTTGTTTTTGTTCCTAAACAATTCCCTAATCAAAACTTTTCGTGTCGAAAAAACTGATTCAACTCATCTGAGCCAAAATAATCACTCCCAAATTCACCCGAAACGGTTTTCTTCTTTCAATCTTAGATGCCGTTGAAACCAGCTTTTGTATAGACAAAAAAAAAAAAGAATTTTACCTTGCCTGAAGCATTACGAACTGGTGATATGTGAAGAAGATTCCAAAATGTGCTCTTATCTTTTCTGTTACTGATAAAAACATAAATGATCAGCCAAAAAGAATCAATAAAACAAGATTCACTCGCAAAAATGTTTTGAAGAAATAAATCTTCAACCTGTAATTTAGTATTTGAACTGTGCATGATTGTCCCTTTAAGATGCACTCCTTCATCTGAACCCAAAAAACATTCACAATCTCAATACCACGGAAGTCACGGGCACCGTTACTTATCGAAGTTAAAACAAAATCAGTACCTCGTATAGAACTGAGGAATCAGTATCAACTCCACTCAGAAATCTACAGTTTTGTCCCAAAACCTCTTGCCTCTTGTAACCTACCAACATTGTAGTAAACAAGAACAGTGCCAAAATGTAAAAAAGGTTGCTAATTTCAGCAAACCCACTCACAACGTCTTTCTAAAACACAAATAAACCACTCACCGGTCAATGTCAAAAAGGCATCACTCGCGTAAATAATAGGCATGTCAGGTAAGCATGGATTGGTTCTGCAAAAGTTATAGAAACAATGTCATGGGGATAATCTATAGAAGCAGACTGAGATTCCATAACAAAACCAAGAACACAAAACTCACAATACGAAACTTTGTTTGATTCTACCGAGAGAAATAACTAACGACGAACTTAGGCAATCTGCACCTCGAAAGCAGCATCGCTTTCCACAGACTAATGCACCGTTCAACTCGCTGTAACGCGTTAAAGTAGATAACACAGTGTTAATTGCTTCCGCAGCTTTAAGCTTCTCCGACTCACTTGCTTCACAGTGTTCCCAATCCTCTAATCCTGCAATACAACAATGCTTTAGAACTCTAGTTTCGTAGCTCTCTGGGGAATTTCATCGAACAAGTAATACGGATAACTTAAAAACCTAACCTTGTTCATCATCATCATCATCACCATCACATTCCACTGGTAAAGCTGGATCCTGATGCACGAAACTACCAAAACAAACCTCTCTTCGACAAGAACCAAACACCAATTCAGAATGATCCAACGACACATCTCCACTAAAACCCGACCCAATTCTCACCTTCCGGTGATGTCCTCGTCCCGAAATAGGGACCTGAACCGCAACAAAATTGATGACTTTACCATCATCTCTCCCAAAAACAGGAGTCATATGAAACAACATCCAAAACGGAGAGCCAGATTTACGATAGTTCAACAAGCTCACTTGAACCGATCTCTCTTCACGAATGGCTTCACGGATCTCCATGATGGATCTTCGATTCGTCTTAGGCCCTTGGAAAAACTTGCCATTTCTTCCGATCACCTCTTCACGGGAATACCCAGTCATTTGCAAAAACCCTAAGCTGGCGAAAACAATCGGGTGACCCGAGAGAAACGGGTCGGTGATTGTGAAATTGTGAGGAAGCTCGTCTAAAGCTTCTTTGATCCATAAGGTGTATCGACCGTGAAAGGATGATGATGATTCTTCTTCTTCTTCGTCAGTGAAAACTGAGACTGAAGATTCTGCTAAGGACATAATCGTAGCAATAGCAAACACTCGATGGTGATGATGACTCTTCTTCTTCTTGTCAGTCTAGTGTTTAGTGCCAATCCCATGTGGGTTTTGAGGCGAAATTGATAAACTTTTATCTTCTGAATGAATCCGAAACACGAAACCCAGATTACGAAATTGTTGAAATCGGGAGTTAAGAAAACACAAATGTTTTCATGAAAGGATGAAAAAAAAATCGAAACTTTGGGAGATGATAAAGAGGGACAGAGGAAAGAAAGATAAACAAGTAAAGGAGAAGAAGAAACAATTAGTGTTAAGTGATTTGAATGTATCCTTCTCTTCTCTCTTTGTTTTTGATTCTTTCGTTTTCTGTGGCTATCGGAAGAGGATGATTGATTTTGTCGCCTCTCTCTATGTTCTTTGAGTTTTGCGAGTTGTAAAATATTCAGATATTTTGTTTTGTTATTTACTAAAACAAAAAATAAAACTAAAATATTTCAACAATTATCCACAATAATTAAGGGATAAGTACAAGTTTTATATCCACAATTAAAATAAAATAAGTGTATTTAAGAGCATCTTCGATTGAGGGGATTTTAAGCAAATCTTAATTTAAGATTTATGAAGAAAAAACACAAATCTTAAACTAAGATTTGTTTAAAATCTTCTCCATTGGAAGTGGTCTTAGTCCATACTCATTTTGTGATCCAAATATTTTTAATATATATATTTGTCTTCAACATTTTATGTTATTTTTACTTGAAATTTTTTCATAATTTATGTTCAAATTGAGTATGAGTAGATTAAGATTAAATGTTAAATCACCCCGACAAACCGGGTATTTTGGCTAATTAATTACCTTTTGGTTGCCAAATTTTTTTTTTCTTTTTTTTTTGCTTTTGCCAAAATAAAATAAATAAATATTGACCTCTTATTTTAGCAGTGAGTGTTGTGTGGTGGCTCCAACCAAAAGCTGGAAAACGACAAAAGCTGATGACTGTCCATACTTATCTGATTTTTTATTTTTTTTTGTTTTGGTGTTATCAAACCAATGCAGCCTCGCTTACGTGTCCAATATCATTTGTACGTTACTCTCCCGGTGTTAACATCTGGCATTCGACTAACTAAGCAGGCCCATTGGGCTGTATTTGGCTGTGTTGTTGTCGCCTTGTTTGTTTATATCATTATTTCCTTCTTTATTTGCCAACTCAAATCTTATCTGTTTCGTTTTGTAACACTATTGATTCGAAATAGTTTGTTTCGTTTTGTAAAATTTTTTGTCTTCATGCTAAGAAACCAATTATACTATGATTTTCACAATTATTTAATATAATTTTATTTTGATGAGAAAAAGCTAGTTTTTTTTTTTTTTCCCTAAGTAGAGTTTATTATAAAATTCACAGTATACAACTAACAGGCCTAAGCAAAAGGCCCAAAGAGTTTTATTAGAACTTTTAATAATTCTCAAGATACTAAAATTTAGGCCATGAATTTTTTGGTTACGTAGTTTTTGAATTATGTTTGGATTTTAAAAAATGAAACAAAAATCAATTTATGTTTAACTATAAAAAACTGAAAAATCATAGATTCTTTTGATTTGTTTTTGACAAAAATAATCAAAATCTAAATTCCCTAGTTTTTAGGATAATTATTTTTCATAATCTTAACTATAAATTAAAATTTTGGAAAAACTGAAACCAAAATTAATTCTAAAATCAACCACACTTCAAAGCCTAACGTTTTATTTGTCTATTTTCTTAACAAATGATTAATATTCGGTAGTTTAACATTTTTCACTTTAATCGATGCTTTAATAGTAGGTCAAATGTTCGTGACGATTAATTTGAATTTTGTTGTTTTTAGTAAGAAACAATTTTTTTAAACTGAATTCCTTTAGTAAACAAATTATAAATTCATAAGAAAACTCAAAGTAAAAATAATATGAGGCCAAAGGACAAAAATAACTGAATACATCCCACAAAAGAAGGATAAACAAAGAAAGAACAATAATAAAACAAGCCAAACTATAATTGGTTTTGAAGAAAAGTAACAGAGAGTTTTAAAAAAATCAATGGTTACCTAATTATTACTCTGTTAATCGTTAATCCTCCATTAATGTCTTTCAGTTTCCCTCTCTCTTTCCATTTCCTTGTTATTTAAGCAATCTATGACTCCGACCATCTATTTCTAACCCTGGGCCGACCAGATAACTTTTTGGACGACCCAAATCTCAAGGGTTCTAATAAAAATTCTACACCGGAAAAAGTACATATAAAAATAAAAACAAGACTCTCACCGCAAATGGTAAATCTTGGGAGCTACGTTTTCGTCTTTGTCTCGTTGTCTCTCGCAGTCGTGGTTCCATCGGTTCAAGCCCACATCGCTGTTCATGATGAATACTGGACGCAACGTCAAACCGAAGCGTTGCAACAAACTTTGGAAGCTTATGACCCTGAACCTCTTAACGTCACAGACCACTTTAACCACCAAGCCGCCTTGTGGGTTTTTTTTAATTTTAACCTGTTTAGGGTTTTTGATTTGTCATTATAACCTAACTTCTTCCGAAAGTAATTCATTTTTTTTTGTTTTTTGTTTTCCTCAGGGCCATGGTGCCGACGGGTATAGTCAACGAAACAAGGAGGGAACTCCGTCAGGTCGGACGTGGTAATAAAAAACCAAGACGTGGCAGAAGGTATGAATCCCTTAACGCGATTGATAAATGCTGGCGAGGCGATAAAAACTGGGACAAAAACCGGAAAAAACTAGCAGATTGTGTCCTTGGATTTGGCCGCAAAACAACCGGAGGCAAAAATGGACCTTTCTATGTAGTCACTGATCCGTCGGACACCGATCTAATGAACCCAAAACCGGGAACTCTAAGATACGCCGTGACAAGGGACAGACCACTCTGGATCATATTCGCGAGAAGCATGATCATAAAACTGCAACAAGAACTGATCATAACGAATGATAAAACAATCGACGGCCGGGGAGCAAATGTTCATATAACCGGGGGTGCAGGTTTAACGTTGCAGTTTGTGAGGAATGTGATCATACATAATATTTATATCAAACAAATTAAAAAAGGAGCTGGTGGGTTGATTAGAGACTCCGAGCATCATTTTGGGCTTCGGACAGTGAGTGATGGTGATGGGATTAATATTTTTGGTGCCACGAATGTTTGGATCGATCATGTCTCGATGACAGATTGTTCTGATGGGATGATTGATGCGATCATGGGATCGACCGCTATCACTATTTCCAATTCCCATTTTACCGACCATGACGAGGTAAATAAGGATAAAATTAAATTAGGACTTGGCACAAAACCCAACCAAACAGTTTTTGAAAACCAAATTTTAGTTTAGAAAATGGAGAACTTTGTATTCACTTGAAAAGCAAAACAAACTGGATGCAAACTTTGAACGCAAAAACAATGGGGCCTAAGGTTTCCATTCATTTCTGCAGGTGATGCTGTTTGGGGGTACAAACAAGGATGTGATCGACAAGAAAATGCAGATAACAGTTGCGTTTAACCATTTTGGTAAGAGATTGAAGCAAAGAATGCCAAGGGTCAGATATGGTTTGGTCCATGTTGTGAACAATGACTACACTCACTGGGAAATGTATGCAATTGGTGGAAACATGAACCCGACCATTATAAGTCAAGGCAATCGTTTCATTGCTCCTCCTATTGAAGATTCCAAGCAGGTAAAAACCACTACAATTCTTGAATGAGCAAATCACTACACTAAACTTGAGAGATACAATTGAGAGAAATTTGAAACGCAGGTTACAAAGAGAGAGTACACACCTTATCCTGAATGGAAAACATGGAACTGGCAATCAGAGAAAGATTATTTCTTGAATGGAGCTTACTTTGTGCAATCGGGGAAGGCAAACGCGTGGAGCACTGCCCCGAAAAACCCAATCCCAAGAAAGTTTGCAATCCGGCCTCAGCCAGGAACAAAGGTCAGAAGACTCACCAAGGATGCTGGTACGCTTGGCTGCAAACCAGGCAAGTCCTGCTGATAAAAGCTCCACTTTCGTCCATTGTGTTCCCATGTTGTTATGGTAAGAAACAAAAAAAAAACAGAAAAAAGAATTGTATTTGTTGTGGATGGTGTTTGTAACAAATTGTGCATAATGCAGTATGGATTATATTATTAGAAAAATATAGGTTCATTTTTTTATTGTTGGATGCGGAAAAAAAATCAAGGAAAAAAACACATTCTTTTTGTTTTTTAATCTTCTTACTTGCCTCAAAGGACACTAATCTAAACACCAATACATAATAATCACTCCTATCAATCCTATACCTTCTTTCTATCCAAATCCAGGGTCATTCTCTTCAATGCTGTATGTCTTAGGCTATCAGACTCATGTCTTCTTGCTTCGAAAGAGACAGAAATAAAAGTTTTAGACAGACTGGTTTTGTCCCTAGTCATGAAGAAAGAAGTATTATGTCATCAAAACCTTGATGATATATTGGTACCATCTGAATTAGCAGTCATCTAGTAGCTCTATCTTAACGCTTTCTTTTAAACCCTGAAACATGTAAAGTGGCAGATGGGATGAGTGGAGGTTTCATTTGGAGTTTTAATAAAATCATATTGCTGCATATCTGTGTGTGTGCTTGTTATCATATTTGACCCAAAAATACCTCTGAGCTTGACGCTTCTTCGTTTGTAAGTACTATACATGTGCTTGATTTCCCTGAAAGCCGAATCTTCTCCTGCAAGACCACATGAAACAAATTATCAGAAAAGTCCATGGACAAGATGGAGGAAGTTAAAGAGGTGAGACCACTATATTATTGCTAGGGACTATATACATACTAATTTTCCATCTAAATGTTTCTCCTCACAAAGAATACATACCTGTATCAATATATCTGGCATCTTGTGATTTTCTCCACCCAAAGAGTCGCACAGATACATCAAACCCATATTCGCAATATTCTGCCCAGCAACAAACGAAGACGAATAAGTTTAAGTAAATTGATCTTTTACTTCATGGCTCCATAATTAGCTGCCAATGATCCCTTCAAATGTTTTTGAGAACTTTAATCAAACAAGAGCGTAAATAAAGAAGTACGTACCTGCTTGTACTCAATGCTATCTAATTTTCCACCCTAAGAAATTGGAAATTTAGACGGAATCAGTAAGCATAACGACCACCAGAGATATGTAATTTGTGTTTATTCCAGTCATGAGTTTAAATAAATGTTAAAGTTATATGCTAAAGGAAAGAAAAACAAATCATATTGATGGTCACTTATAATCTCAATTCTTGTAGTCAGACATGTTTTCTGCTCAAAATGACAACAAAGACACAATAAAAAGGATTTTCAACAACAGTCCACGTACCATACCACCAAAGAGGCTATGCATTGCGTCAAAATCATCTCCAATGTTAGCAAGATCCTCAAGAGCCAAACCCACCTGTTAGATAGATATTAAACTTGTTAGTTGTTAATACTGACCTCAAAAGAACAACTTTTGCAACCTGTTAATACGTAATACCATATTCATTCATACATTATCCTGGACTCCCTTTAAAAGATCTTTCTGCACGTCCAGCTTATCGTCCACCTTCTGAAGCCGCTGACTCAGGTGCTTCTTAGCATTCTGACCAACAACATAAGAAAAAAGCACTATACAATTAGAATCCTATAAGATCATAGCAAGGACCGAACAGTTGATAGAAGAATCACCCACAGATATAGCTTCTGAAACGGTATCCAAATGCTTTGTGAAGTTCGCTACAGCATTTTCCATGTTCTGCTTTGTTATGCACATGATATCAGAGAATGAAATCCCCTAACACAGAAACAAACATCAGCTTCCGAGAAAATTAACCCCAAGAAACTGTAGTTAGAAGTTAGAACTATACAAGATACCTTGAACCACATGTAGCCATAGCCTAAAGCTCCCAATGTAGCTGCCGGGACTATAAACGGAGTAAAGTCAGCTGGAAATAGCAGATGAGAAAGTTAGAGATAAACAAACATTCTTCAAAAATACCAAATCAAAAACTGGCCGGAGACAAACCTCCTTGACCTCCATTAACTACAGTTATCTGCCGGGACGAAGCCAATTGCCGAACCTCCATTGCTAACCGTTGCATCTACAATATTCTCACACATTCATATATGAATTTTCCTACACTTTAATCACACACACCACTTCACCTCAAGATCCATCCATAACACTAAAATTACCTGAGTAGTCATGCCATCAGAATCATCATCTGAATGATCTCCAGATTTCTCAAACCGCTTAACCAAAGCCTTCAAATTTGGAGGAAACAAAAAAATTTACTACTCCCTTGTGATCCAAAACTCAGAAGAACACAACAAAAGAGAGCTTTTTACTAATCGTACCTGTAGCTCACCCAAAATGTCTGACATCTTCCCATTCTTAACCAGAATCGTACTAGTATAACCTTCAAATTCAAAGGCAACATAGAAGCCAAAAGCGTATTTTTCATAAATCTTTTAGAAACTCTATAATTGGGGAAAATCATAAAGCTCGAGAAACCCTAAATACCTACCTGCTCCAGCTAAAATTAAAATCTTCGATAACCCAATTCCAGATTGCATAGCCATGGTCGCAGCTTCCACACAGGTGAAACAAAAAGAAGTTGTCTTCTTTCTTCTGCGTCGAGCTCTGTAAAAGTTTCGCTCGCCGGCGTAAGAAACTGTCAGGTCAATGTCGGTTGTTTGTTTGAATGACGTCGTTTTATACTTATAAACTCTTTGACCTTGTACTAAACGTAATAAAATAAAGTCAACTTAAGAAATATTGGGTTAAATTTGAAAACAATTAACATTTATTGGGGTCAAATTTGTAAGTATGAAATTTGAAAGGGTAAAACGAATTAACACAAAGTCTTCTTCTGTGCTGAAGTTCAAAACAAAAACCCTTACCTTACCTCCATCGTATCGTAACCCAGTGGAGAAGACGAACCATTGAGAGCAATGTCGCAGCTCTTATCTTCTCCTCCAATGGCGGTTTTCTCCAAAATCTTCGTGAATCATCAGCTTACAGACACTCGTTTTCTCTCTTCTCACTCAATTCTCACCTCCGGTGGTTTCGCCGGGAAAGTCGTTCCTTTAAAACCGACGGCGAGGTTGAAATTAACAGTGAAGTCTCGCCAAGGTGATTACTTTGAGAAGCAGAGGTTCGGTGACTCGTCTTCTCCTCCGCAAAACAGTAGGTCACTCAAATGTTTGAATTTTGAAAATTTGGTAAAGCTTGAAATTTCATAAAGTTTGAATTTTTGTTTGTTTGGGTTTTTGGGTTTTATATAGCTGAAGGGTCTTCGCCTAGATTTTACGTGGGTCATTCGATTTATAAAGGGAAAGCTGCTCTTACGGTAGAGCCACGCGCACCAGAGTTTGTGGCTTTGGAAGTATGTCTCTCGTCTGGAACATCAAAAGCTCTACTGTATTTATCTATCTCTCTAGGTTGATCTCATTTTTTCTCTTCTTTTTTGTGTGATGGTTTTGATCCAGTCTGGTGCGTTCAAGCTGACAAAAGAAGGTTTTTTGTTGCTCCAGTTTGCTCCTGCAGCTGGTGTTCGTCAATACGATTGGAGCAGGAAGCAGGTTTGGTTTTTATCTTTCACTTACTACTTCAGAGATTGTGATAAAGATCATGAACTTAATGTGGTGGCAGCAACAACAAGAGCCTTTTGACTTTCTATAATGGTTGTGGTTAGATTATGTTCAATGTTGCAAGTCTAATTTTTATCTAGAACGTAGTATATTAGGGATTGTGAAAATGAGAAAACTTGGTTTGGAGAAAGAAACAACACTTTTACTTATGTTTTGATGTCGAATGATGCAGGTGTTCTCGTTGTCAGTTACAGAAATTGGTAACCTAATTAGCCTTGGGCCGAGAGAATCATGTGAATTCTTCCATGACCCGTTCAAGGGAAAAGGGTATAATTTAGGGATCATATGAGGTCTTTTTCATTGCACAGAATGAGTTTCTCTTTAGAATCTGATTCATAATTGATTTTTTTTTTTTTTTTGGTTGTTGTAGAAGTGATGAAGGTAAAGTAAGGAAAGTGCTGAAAGTTGAGCCTCTTCCAGATGGTTCTGGCCGCTTTTTTAACCTGAGTAAGGAAAGCTTTATTTCGTATTCTTTACTTTTGTCAAGCTCTTCTGATTTTCATTGTTGATTTTTCATGAAGGTGTTCAAAACAGGCTCTTAAATGTAGATGAGAATGTATACATACCAATCACTAAAGCAGAGTTTGCTGTTCTTATCTCTGCTTTCAACGTGAGCTCCCTCTCTCTCTCTGTCTCTCTCTCTCTCTCTAAGTGAAAAGCCTTTGCCCTTATTACAACTTTACACATTGAATTTCCAGTTCATCTTGCCACACCTCATAGGCTGGAACACATTTGCAACCTCCATAAAACCAGAAGACTCTAACCGACTTAACAATGCGTCACCTAAGTATGGAGGAGACTATGAATGGAGTAGATGATGGATACTGTTGGCAACCTTGCAAACTCGGTTCTTCCATTTATCCTATCTTTTTGTTATGCAAATCAATGAGTCACCAAGAACCGTTAGAGACAGAGAACCCAAAAAAAAAAAAAGCAGCAGCAGAGACTGTAGTAGCGTTTAGACCAAATGGGATGCTTGTTGTGTAGGAAGTGTTAGACAATTTGTATTGATTCGAGAGAAATCCATTACATTTTTGCTAATACATATAATATTGATTACAAAGGGTCTAATAGACTAGATACTCTGATCTCTTATGGAGCATAGACATGCTCTCGATTCGGAGGTTGTAAACCAGATTAACCATCCAATACAGGATTCCATTTGCAGTATAGAAGAAACTAAAGGACCTAAACAAACAAAGATAAAGAGATCATCGTGCAGATTACCACATTCAGACATTAAACAGAGTGTAATACCCTGCACAATGAACTGTTTAGCTTTGTTAGTTTAGGTCCTTGGGTGTCTTCCATGCTGCGGATGTAAACCTGAATTAGTGAATAACCTGCTTTACGAGCCCCGAAACCAGAACACGTCAATACTCCCCAAAGCAATTCTTGCCTTTGCTCACTTTGGACCACTCGGTATGTACTTAACCAGACAAACTAAGACCTGGAAATTTCACCAGTTGCTTCTGATCTATTACCTGCCTGATACTTTCCACATCTTGCCATCTTTCGAGTGCAGCATATATGCTGGACAAGATCACAAATGGAGCTGGATTCTCTGGCTCTAACTCTGCTAGCTTCATTGCCGCTTCCTCTCCAAGCACTGGATCAAGGTGTTGCCTACATGAACCGAGCAAAGAAGAGTAAACCGAAGATGATGGTTCTGACATTTGATTGATTAACTCCTTGGCTTCTCTTAATCTCCCAAAACGACCCAAAAGATCAACCATACAACCTATGTGCTCTGTACTATGTTTATATCCATATTCTTCCTGCATCAACCTAAATACTTGAAATCCCTTCTTGACATTGCCACAGTGACTACAGGCAGACAGAACAGCAGTAAAGGTTGCTGAACTCGGTTCTACTTTCTCCTCTCGTAATAGGTCAAAGATTTCAATTGCAGATTCATACTCTCCATGTTTACCGTAGCCAGATATCATAGCGTTCCAGAACACGGGATCCTTGGGTTTTGGTTCAAACCGATCAAAGATCCGGCGTGCCCACAAAGAGAACCCACATTTCATATACATATCGATGAGAGACGTTGAAACATATATATCCCTCTCAGCTGTAGCTTTAATGACATAGCCATGGATCTCTTTGCCGTTCTTTAACGCCCAGATGTCTGAACAAGCCGACAAAAGGCTAGTGAGACACTTCAAACTAGGAATCGTAACTACTAACAGCATTGTCTCAAAGAACTTGAAAGCTTCAACAACTTTTCCTAATTGTGAAAAGCCACTGATCAGAGAATTCCACGTGGCTGAATCGGGCTTAATCCCCTCAGAATCCATCTGTTCAAACAGCTCAACTGCTGTCTCATGCTGTCCATTAATCATCATCCCAGAGATAACAGAGTTCCAAGATATCAAGTTCCTGGTATCTTTCAGCTCGGTGAAAACACTGTATGCTGACTTCCAACATCGACATTTTGAATACATATCAATGAGAGCTGTACCGACCATTACATCAAAGCTAAAATTTTTTTTCATGACAAGACCATGAATTTGCCTACCATACTGAAGATTCAAAAGACTAGCGCAAGCAGTTATTGCATTAATGAAAGTAACAGGATTTGGAACTTCACTTGAAAACTTCCTCATGAGATTGAAGACACTAGGGACCAAATGCATAACTCCATTCTCCATCAACCCGGAGATGAAAGCGTTGTAGGTTACAACACTCTTATGAGGCACGTTTTCGAACATCTTCGCAGCCAAAACCCATTCTCCACATCTCGAATACATTGAAACAAGTGAGGTTCCAACGTAAACTTCCATATCAAAACCTGATTTCATCGCCAAACAATGCAATTGCCTCCCTCCTTCGATATCCCCACAGCTACCCAAAACACTGGCCACAGTAACCGAATTCGTCCCAGACCCAGAAACCCTAGCATCCCCAAACATCCTAAACGCATCTCTACAAAAACCATTCTCCAAAAGCCCAGAAACCGCTGCATTAACACTCGCAATACTCCTGTCAGGCATTTCGTCGAGCACATTAAGAGCATCCGTCACCTGCTTCACCTTCATGTACATACTCACCAAAGCCGTCGCCGTGAAAACATCAACGAAAAACCCAGTTTTTATGACATGGGCATGAAGAATTCGACCTTGGACAACATCTCCAAGCCTGGCACAAGATTTAAGAAGAGGCGGGAATGTGAACTTGTTGGGAGAGTGAGACAAAATCGCATCCAGCGAAGATCCACAGGTGACGAGATTCGAGACTCGGTGCCTCGTGAGGCTTATCATCAAGAGAGAGGTAATAGCGAGACCAAAGACACATCAAAGCTCCTCCATTGTCGACAACTAGAGATCAAAAGATACAAAATTAAGAAATGAAATGAACAATAAAAAATCAATCTTTTATCGGTTTAAAATCTGGTTAAAACCGGTTTAATTTCGGTTAAGCGCCACTCGCGCATGGCCTGAACAAATATCTGAAGTCTCTGACTGTACACAGTTTTGATTAGATCGAAGTTTCTAGAAGATCACACCACTGCGTGCGTTATACGAAGTTCCACATCATATCTCTCTATCATCGCTCGGTGAATTCGAGGATCGTCGAGCTTCTTTGATCGGCGACTTTTTTTTTTTCTCTCATCATCATCTTCGTTTGAATTATCCGGCCTCGTCTCGCCGCAAGGAAAGATGCTCGCTTGACGAAGAACCTTTAACGATCTTTGCCTAATTGTTCAACAGTAAGATCTCTTTTTCACGATTGCTTCGTTGCTAGATCCGTAGATTTTACTTTGAATTTCAGATATTATTATCATTCTTTGGATGTTTTGGCTGTGAATTGAACCGATGTTAAGAGGTTCCTAGGTTAAAGAGAAGTGTGTAAGTATTTTGCCTTTTCGATTTGCAATTGATGTGCTTCTCTATGATCATAGTTTTGTATAACAAAACCAGTTTAAGAGTCACCAATTTGTTGGATGTGTAACTACAATTTTTAAAACATACTGAGATTTTGATTTGAAGTTGGCTTTTTGGAAATTATGTGATGGTTGTTTACTGGGTTTTGGTAGAGTAAGAGAAGGATGTCGACTCCAGCGAGGAAGAGATTGATGAGGGATTTCAAGAGGTTGCAGCACGACCCACCTGCAGGGATTAGTGGTGCTCCTCAAGACAACAATATCATGTTGTGGAATGCTGTTATCTTTGGGTAATGGAACATAGTGAAAAATCGATACTTGATTGGTTTCAGAGACGTTTGAAGTCTGCACTGTACTTATTAAACGTTTTGTTTGTGGATTTTTCAGGCCTGAGGATACCCCTTGGGATGGAGGTAAAGATTTGTTATAGTAATCACTATCTTGAGATTTTTGTAATCTTTCATACCTGGTCTGATATAGCTTTTGTATGATCTTGTCAGGTACTTTCAAGCTCTCACTCCAGTTTTCGGAAGATTATCCAAATAAACCACCGACAGTCCGGTTTGTTTCACGGATGTTCCATCCAAACAGTAAGTTAGAGATTACCACACCATCTTTTCTTGTTCTGAGTGCATTTGATTGACAAAACACTCACTTGGTCAATGTTTTCCAGTTTATGCTGATGGGAGTATATGCTTGGACATTCTTCAGAACCAATGGAGTCCAATATACGATGTCGCTGCTATCCTAACCTCCATTCAGGTATATATATACAGAAATGTCATATCAGAATGCTTCTCGTGTCTTGTTTCTCAATGAACCGTTGATGATTGTTGTTATTCTGCTCCCCCTCCTGACCGTTTACACCGGATCTTTGATCTAAAGCAATTACATTTGTGGCTGAACAATCATCCTTTTCTTTGTCACAGTCGTTGCTCTGTGATCCTAATCCGAATTCTCCTGCAAATTCGGAAGCTGCACGAATGTTCAGTGAAAGCAAGCGCGAGTACAACAGAAGAGTCCGTGAGGTTGTCGAACAAAGCTGGACCGCCGACTAGTAATTATATTGTTGTAGCATTTGTCTTCACATAACATTAAACCTCCTCTCTTGTATTTGATTCGACAATCACTTCTCTGAGAGAAGTTCTCTCTCCCTCCCACTCGCTTTTATGTCTGTGTGTTTGCCAAACTCTGTGATTTGTTGCTTTGTGTTTCTTTGTATTTTCGTAATCACATTCATCTTCATAATTATAATATGTATTGCAATTCGATCATTGTCGTAGCTCTTCTTCTTTTGCTTTATATTTGATAATACAGATTACTAATTTAGCAATAGAAGATATATGTCAAGTACTCTACGAACTACATACTGACTTGTTGTTAACACTCAGTCACTGTTTCAACACTTTTTGTCTCTCTTTATCATTTCGTTCATATATGTATTGCCTTCAAGGAGGATTCATGATTCCCACTACTTCGTCTCCATCCTTGTTGCACTTGAATTGTATACTGCAGATACCAGGGCAGACGAGAGTAAATTCCACTGTTGTCCTCAACGACTAAGTATATGAATATGATCGTTTCACACATGGAGCTGCTCCATACTGATGGTTCATCTCTTAAACCGCTCTCCAGCTTCCAAAACTAGCATAGAGGTTTCAAATTTGTAAACTGTCGAATTGACAAATATGAAAGGTTCTGACTGAAACAGAACAGCCTGAAGCTTTAAACTTCCCATCTCTGACGAGCCTGCAGCCACTACTTTGCCTACAATGATCTGAAGTAGTATCACTCCATACTGGTACACATCTTCTCTTTCTCCATCTCCGTTACTGCATTCAATTCACTAACAAGTTTATATTCAACCTTATGATGGGTTATGCTCGTGCATGGAATGTACTACAGAGGGATGTATTGGAAACAAAATGCTACAGAAATCTGGAAGGTTGAAAGCTGCACTACCTAGAGAAATATGCTTTCAGAAATAAGTCCATCTTCTACAAACGGGATGGTTTTCCGAACAATTACCCTCATCGGAGCTCCTGCGAGAAGGAACAACATGTGATTAAGAAACCACTAAATAAATGGATTATTCAGTATCAAGAGCTATGTCAACTGAAACTGCACCTCCATTAGCTTGATCATTTTCAGTACAGATTGCTGCATAATGAGAACCAGCCAACTCCAATAGGCCAAACTTCCAATCTCTGTTGCATTCCTCTGTCTTCTCCTGTGAATTGACAGACATTTCAAATGTTTAGAGAAAACAATCAAGCGTCCTAAAATTCTATTTTTAAACTGCCTGCTTATACGCTATGCAGCAAAAACTTTTTCTGACAGCAATGAAAAAGAGATATAGTAGTAAAGGAAATTTTCAGAAAGTGTACAACACAACAACTAATTGCATTTCATAAACACCCTATTCAATTCCAGAATGTGTCATTAAAGCCTAAAAACAACCTTGCAAAGATTGTAGCCTCCATTTGTTCCAGCCGTAGACTGGATAGTGAATGTATTAAAAGGAGCTGCAGAGAAGCCTTTTCCTAATGCTTTCACATATGCTTCCTGGAAATAAAACCATCACAACAGTTTTTAACTTTCGAGAGGAAACTAGTTTCCGACTTTCAAGTATATCTGTTGTTAGTCAGACCTACCTTAAGAGTCCATAACTTAATAAATTCCTTTCGCTGAACTTCCGGGTCTGGTATAGTTGACAAAAACTTCACTTCATCAGTAGAGTAAAATCTTTCTGCTAATGTTAAAACATCATGTTTTATCTTCCTTTCCTTGTCTTCAAGATCGATACCAACCTATAGTCATAATAAACTGCAACTGATCAAATTTTTAAAAGAAGGCATTGAAAAAATGTCCATGTTTGCCTCAATTAGAAGACTTACAGGAACATGTACAGTCACCCCACAGGCAACTAATGAATCTGTGTGGGAGATATTAAAATGCAATGGTGGGTCATTACAGTTCTTATAATTCTGCCAATCTACCTGTGAAAGATTAAACAAGAATAAATGATATTATCAACTTAAGCCGAGACTATGAGTCTAGTATATAATCCCAAATAACTGTCTCACCTCAGGCTTCCCATACATATTCTTCTTGAACATCAAGGTCCGAGGATCAACTGCATTGTTTGTCTGATCTAGAGATATAAACGTTACAGGAACTTGTTCAGAAAACTCGTTAAAATTTAGAATTTCCATAAGAAAAATTCAGTCTGCAAAAGACATAATGCAACATTATTGAAGAAAATCTTAAGAAGAAGACAAGCTTTCCAAGTTTTCTTTCTAATTATGTTTTACTGCTAATCATAACCTAAGAGACTACCCAACAGAATCATATAGAAAGGCAGCTGTAGGAGACTAAGCAGCTCAATCTTCAAGAAACAAAGCCTAATAGGAAACTCCAGTGCCTAATGATCGATATTAGCTGTAAAGTGTAAGAAAAAAACAACATACATCTTGCAATGGTGGTCCGAACCAATGTGCGGGCAAGCAAAGCATTCTTCTGAAGCTCATCGCCTCGCATCTGAAGAACTTTATCTTTCTCAGATGGTGACAGAAGTTGAGAGTAGTGTTTTAGAAGAGATGTACTTTTCACTTCATCTGGAAGTACATACCATAGATGAGTCTCCCTACATGAAATGAATAAGAACACAATCAATGGCCATAACCATCAAAATCAATGTAGATTATATAAACTGACGCAAGAGTGTTGAAGATAAGCTTCAACACAATAAACCAAATCATGATGACGAAAAAAAAAAAAAAAAAAAAAAAAAAAAAAAAAAACAAACAAATAAAACCAAATCATATCAGCCAATTTTGATCATTCCTTAACATCAGAGAACCCTAAAAATTCAAGCTTGTTATTGTATTCCAAACTCTGCAATCTATGACGACAGAGGACTCTCAACATAGGCAATGAGCTACTTACATCCGAGATGGAAGTTGCAGAGGAACCAGTTTAGGCAATTCGATTGAGAAGCTTCGCTGCATTTGCGACATGAAACTGGTTCTCATCAGCTATAACTATTACCAGAAACTGAGTTCCAATTCACCCCGATCCGTTGATCGAAAGTTTCTCCGGTGAAAAAATAGCGGCGGCGACAATTTGCAGCAGACGGAAAATGTATTTGAGAAGAATAGTATTATAATCTGTTTGGCTGTACGGATAAGTCTATTGGGCCAGGCCCATGGCTCTTAGTCCAATATAAGATAGAACTATGCGTTCAGCCAAACAAGTCATCATCGGCGGTATCTTCTCGACGCCATGGATGGAACGTGCGTCTGAGAGAGCTCGCACATCAGAGGAGAGGTTGCGAGGCTGAGCCCTTTGTGCTGAATTCCTGATCTCAACGTATTGTGAATTCAGTTTGATCGAGTATGCACGTAAGGTGTTCGACGAAATTCCTCAGTCACGTCAGTTCTGGTGTTTGTTACAACGCTTTGGTACACAGCACACTCGAAAGTAGATAAGCTAGTAGAAGGTGTTTTCCCTGATACTCGAGCTCAGAAGCTTGGTCTCGAAGAAGAGAAGCTGCTGGAAAGCCAATGGTATTGTATCAAATTTGTTTGGTACTATGAAGAGAGGTATAAGCTGGAGCCTGGTCCTGAACAGTACTCTTGTGTAGTTTATCTACTTGGAAGAGCTGGTCGACTGGATGAAGCCATGGAGTATATAGTATCAATGCCAGTTGAACCTGGTGGTGCTGTTTGGGAAGCTCTATTGGGTGCCTATAAAATCCATAAGAATGTGGACATGGCAGGGTTAGCTTTTGCTTAGGTGACTGAGTAGTAGATGTGAGCATAGTGAGAAGTTAACAGTAGCTTTTGGGATTCACAACAGTATTCCAGGCACAGAGAGTTTCGTGATAAAGAACCTGAGGGTTTGTGAAGATTGTCAATGTGTCATGTGTTCATCAAGCTGTTTAGCCAGTTTGTAGACCACTGGTTCTTCAAATCGTTAGTCCAAAACGAATGTATACTGTCGGTTCTTCAATTTTGGTATCCTCAACAGTTTTCCACCACAGTTTATCACAGTCGCGAGAGATTCTTCCACTGATTTCCACCAAGCTAATGCTCGACGTTGATATGATCGAAGCTTTGGTGGAAGCTGATGGAAATTGACATGCATCTTTAATCCACAATTTCAAAGACGGTTTATGCTCGTGCAATGACCAGTGATTTTCCAAGAGTTTCACATACATGGTGGTCCAGTAATAAGCTTTGATCTTTCCAATACGCCGAATGTACTACAGAGGATGTATATAAGGCAAAATACTTATAGAAACCTAGAAGATTTCCTTCAGAATTATGTTCATCTTCTGCAATCTGATCTAGTCCAATATATGATGTTGCTACAATACTAACCTCCATTCAGGTATATATACAGAAATGTCATACTCAAATGCATTCACATGTCCGAAGTCTCCTTTTGAATTTGTTGTTTTGGTCAAATTACATAGGTGCATGGCTGAGTAATCTCCCTTTTTTCATAAGTCGTTGCTATGTGATCTTAATCCGAACTCTCGATCAAATTCAGAAGCTGGATGAATGTTAAGTAAAAGGAAGCGCGAGTAATTATATTATTGTGGTAGCATACTAGCATATTTTTTAGAAAAGACTATGCTTACTCTCTTGTGTTCCACCCACTCTCTTTCATGTCTTTGTGTGTTTTTAAAACTCTGTGATATGTTGCTTTTGATGTTTTCATGTATTTCCGTAACCACATAACTTCATCATTATCATATGTATTTCAATTCGATCATTCTCGCAGATCTTTTGCTCTTTATTTGATACAACTGATTACTAAGTTAGCTAATAGAAAATATTTCAGGTAATCTATGGAACTACATATTGACTTGTTGACTCTTATGACTGATTCTACAATTTCATCTCTGTTTTAAAACACTTTTCTGAGGATTCTTCATTCATATATTGCCTTCATGGATGATTCATGATTCCCACTGCTTGCTCTCCATCCTTGCTGCACTTGAATCGTATACTGCAGATTCCATACAACATCTTCAATTGAAGGCCGTTTGGTCTGATCTTCACAAAGACAGTTGATAGCAAACTCTACTGTCGTCCTCAACGACTCATAAGCATATGATCCTTTCACAGATGGATCTGCTAAGCTGCTCAATACTGATGGTTCATCTCTCAAACCATTCTCCAGCTGCAGGAAATAACATAAAGGTCAAATTAATAAGCCATGTTGGATTAACAAAGATGAAAATGTTCTGAGTGAAACAGAACAGACCTGAAGCTTCAAACTTCCCATCTCTGAAGATCCTGAAGCTAGTACTTTGCCTGTTATGATCTGTAGTAGTATCACTCCAAACTGGTACACATCTTCTTTCTCTCTATCTTCATTACTGCACACAATTCACTGACAAGTTTCAGAATTTGATGGAAGAGAACACATTTTATCATATCTTAGGAGATACAACAACCTCTGAGGATTTTTGGATTGAACACTCTCTTCTCCGATCTAGAGATGCCATGAAATTTTCTTAAATTAATCAGTTAAAAGAAAAAAAGAAAGACATTTAGAATGTAGGATTTGAATTGAATTAGTCAAAAGAATTTATACCTTGGTTGGTAAAGGAATAGTATAGCCACTGATTTTTACAGTGAGTGTTTCATCAAGCATGATATTCTCTATCTTCAAATTGTTCCCAAAGATCCCTGGTGCTACTCCCATGTGCAAGAACTGTATCCCTCGAGCAACTCCTATGGCTATCGCCATTCTCTGAGGCCATTTCAGTACTTCTTTCTTCCTACTGTCTGATTACAAAAATTCCCATAGTGAATAACCATTTGAATCTGTGGAAACCTGAATATATTTTTGTAAATTTTTTTTCCAGGTTATTACTTGTGAGAAAGTCCCTCAATGATCCACTAGAGATGTATTCTTGGACGATAAAGATGGTGTGTCCAGAGTGTTGATTGTGCTCTTGGTTACTGGCGATGCAGTGTCCAAGAACGCTTACCAAATGCATATGCCTTAGCTTTGATAAAACTTCCATCTGTTGAGCTAAGCTCTGTGGCAAACTCTTCTGCTTCAGCTTGATACATCGCACTGTCACTGGTATGCCTTCTCTTAGACAACCTGTGTACAGCTGTTTGAATACCAAATATGTTAAGTAATCAGGTTCGTCGTCGGAGTCTTAAGTAATGTTTTTGTTTTTACCTGTTCGCAGAAGAGGCTTGCTGCATCAAAGTCGTTAGTTGCTTCTTCAAGTTCTTCCAAGGAGAAAACGCGGTACGGTGGCAAACCAATCACCGCAGATCTCATTGTATGCGGTACACGTCCTACACTCAGAAAGAAATGTATGGTTTTTGCTAGAAAAAGACTCAAATTCAAGATATCAAATCAATAATAAGAGTCACTATTTACTTGAATCTGGTAATGACTTAGAGCTGGTAGTTGCAGTGCTGCAAACTGAGACTTTATCAGAGGCATGTCTCTCATTGTTGTTGTTGGTTACTTCAGAATGATTTTCTTCTGATCTTCTTCTTTTCAGGGTAATCAAAATCAACAGAACCAAAATTGCTGCAAGGATAACCGCACTGATGATTATTAAAATCACTAACCCGAGTTTGATTCTTGTAGAATCTTTCTCTTTAACCTTGGGGACAGGTTTCACAGCTATTGCTTTGCTTGCTTGGTTTTGACAGAAAGAAAGCGGACGCTGATACTTCGCGTTAGGAGTGCCAATCAAAGACAAGCAATTGAATGAGAAAAGCACTGTCTGATTCCTGAAACTCTTTGAAGAGTAGCAAGTAGGAAGTTTTCCAGTTAGGAGATTGTGAGAAACGTCTAAAGCTCTAATCTTTGAGGAGCTGCAAGAGGAATTTGGAAGTGACCCGCTTAACATATTCTGATCCAAACTGAGAATTTGAAGAGAAGGAAGCGAAAACAGAAACTCTGGAATCGACCCGGTGAATTCGTTGGAAGAAAGGTCTAAACTTTGAAGCTTCTTCAACTTATTGATCTTTTCTGGAATCTGGGATCTAAATGAGTTGTTCTTCAATGAAACAGTGATGAGATTACTTGGCAGTGAAGGAACTCCAGGACCGAGCTTATTATCTCCCAAATGCAGCTCTTGAAGATTCGACAACCCTCTGAGATCATCAGAGACAAACCCCCAGAACATATTGTCTCTTAAAACAAGGCTTTTCAGATTCTTCAAAGACGCAATCTCTTCTGGGATCTTCCCGGAGATGAAATTAGAGCTGAGATTCAGAGATTCAAGAGAAGGTGATAGCTTGGTGATGATTTTAGGAGAGAGAGAACCAGAAATCCCAAGAGAGGTAAGAGACAAAGTTTTTAAGCTTGAGAGTTGTGTAAGAAGAGTGAAGAGTTTATGAAAACTACCGGAGAGCTTACTGGTTCTGTTCCCAGTTATAGTTAACTCTTGTATGTGGCCTTTGAAGCAAATGGTTCTTAAGGAAGGAGAAGGACGAATGCGGCAGAAGTTGGTCGTATCGGTCCATGACTGAAGAATCTGTGGATACTGTAGTTGCTTCTGGATTTCAAGAAGAGTTTTTGATTCACTTGAAGCTAGCTGAGACTCAGAGAACAGTGGAAGAAGAAGAAGAAGGAAACTGAAGCAAAAAAAATGGATTTGAAGATAATTCTGCATTTTCTTGGTAAAGTTTACTGTATTAAAGATGTGTTTTTGGATTCAGAGAAACAGAGACTCATTGAATGAAAGCTGTCATTTTTTTTCTTCCTGGGAACAGAGACAGATCTATTGGGAAAGTAGATGATGAACACTTGGGATTGATGAGTAAAGAGAGAAACCTATAAACTTTCTCGAGGATTTTCGTGGGAAAACTTAAAAGAAAGAGTGAAGAAAAAAGCCGATTAAGGTGGAGGCAATAAATGTCCATCTTTCATTTCTGAAACTTTTATATTTGTTTTTGGGGAGTTTGGTTGTTTGCTCATTACTGCACATTGCACAACCTAAGCTTGACAGACTGTTTTTAATGAATCCAAGAAGATGAAAATCTTTATTTTATGTTAATCTAATTATTGTAACATTAACAACTTATATTCCACATGATATTTTGATAGTGTTTTTTTTTAATCTAGCTCAATTTGTTAATAACTAATTATCAAGTCAGAAGACTCAATAAAATGTCAAAGAACTGATACTGATTATAATGATTTTCTACTCCATGTAGACTATGTAGTAAATGGTAACAACGAAGAGGACTTGAGTCGAGTTTAGCAATTTGGAATTGGTGTTTCTTCTTGTAGCTCTACTATAAAATTATCGTTTGTGCTTTCTTTGTTATATTTTGTTTATAATATTTCAATTTTTTTAAAAGCTTTTCAATCATTTCTGTTACTTGTATATCTTTATATTTTTGGTAAAAATTTTCAAGAGTGCTATAAATACATAAACATTGATACTTGAAAAGAAGTAATAACACAAATGGTTTATTAGTTCACAGCTAAGCCAGATGATAAGACATTTTTAAGTAATTAACAGTTAACAAACTAATAATGTTTCTTTGTTCATTTTCGTGAGATTATTGATTAAACACGTGCTTTTGTTTTTCTTAATAAAACATGTACATACTTTTAGATTATATAAGTTACCTTTCTATAATTCAGAACCTCTATAATTGGATCGATCAGAGACAAAAGCTATAGAGATGTTTTTGTTACTTGTCGGTGAGAATGAGATTAAGAAATGTATGTCGTGTTGTGTCCTCGAGGAAACGAAGCCATTACGTTTTGTGTCTTATCTTTTAAAAGTGTGTTAGAGATTCTACCAAATGTCGAGCTGTTTCTTTTTTGTTCTGATCAACTGTTCATTTACTTTCTTTTTTGTTTTTTGGGTACAAGCTTCTACTTTTATTAATGATAGTGTGTGTTACATAATAAAATTTTATGTATTTTTATACGATCAAGCACATGCAAAGACCTTTGGAATAATCGTCACTGCGAAAGTCTCATTTAATATTTTCCACAACTGCCATATTTCTCTGAAATTATTAAAATTTTTATTTAAAATAAAATAAAACTTTATTTTTTGGGCTTCTACACTTTTCATATGTCTAACTTTTAGCCTGTCTATGGAGTAGTACATTTAGGCCCAAAATATACCACATTTTAAGTCCATGTATTACAATATATTTTAACTTTCTGAACAATTTGTCTATTTTTCTTTTTTTGAGAAAATAGTTATATTAATAATTTACTTGCGGAAATAAGTTGTTGATTGGTTCTTCCGTTACCATCTATAAATAGTTAAATTTGTGGAAAATTGCGGTTAATTGGTTTACACTGTTTAGAACCGCTAGAAAACGTTGGATTTAAAAAAAAAAATCTCCTAGAAAACATTTTTTTTTTAATTCATTATTAACTAAAAATGATTTTTTCTTATGTTAGTGAAAGGAGTAAGATAGACACACGTAATTAAGAAACAGTTAATGCCTTTCAAAATCGGAAATTAGCGGACTAACCACTTCGATAATGACAACATTAATTCTCGATTTGAAAAATCATTAATCCAACTTAAAAAAGAAAGATATTTCACTAAATTCCAATGCAATCTACAATCACTCAATTGGGCTCATACCACAAATAGGCCCATTAATAAACCCATTGACAAAACATCTGTAGAACGCAGTCGTTTCATATCTTTATAGTTCCGTCTCTCTCCTTTTTTTTGTTTTCCTCTCTCCCTCACATTACAAACGGTGAGTGTAATTTCTGACTGTAACCACTTTTTGGTTTTTTTAGGTCACTGCTCCGACGAAGAGCCTCAGAAAAGACAACAAATTTTTGAAGAACATAACAGTAACGATTCGGTACATTGTGAAAATCTGTTTCAGATTTGACATTTTAAATTCTTTTTTTTTTTCTTGTTACACATTTTAGTAAAAAACCCTCACACAACAACAAAAAAAAAAGTTTCTGTTTTTTGATTTCTTCTACTCAGATCTGATTTACTAAAATGTTACTCCATCCTCTTCCACTCTTTGATTTTGCTTATAAAGTATCTCTCTTTTCGATTTTATATCTCTGTTTTGCTCGAAAAATACGGTTTTTGAGTTTTTCTGGTATTTGTTCATATGAAATTTAGGTTTTTTTTTGTGTTTTCCCGCTAAGTCTACATGGGTTTTAGTTTGTAATCGTCAAAATCTCTGCTTTTGTTCACTTTAAGTGATGGGTCTATGTGTTCCTTTGGCTTTCGTTACCTTTTATTTTATTTTTCTGTCTCTCTTTTGATTTATGCTTTATCACTGTATAGTTGATGTCTGTGTTCGTCTTGTTTAGAACTGTTAGGGTTACTATCTTTCTGATTTATGTCTTGTGTGTGTTTCTAGGGTTTCTGTTTGAGATTTTTTATTATTTTATATTTATAAAACGTTTCAGCTTCAGGTAAAATTGATGTTTCCATAGTTTTGCTACTGTAAAATCCATTGGCCTTGTTTTTGTTTGGACCTGGTGTGTGGCTTATACAAACAAAATGTGTTTTTTGTTTATGCAGGTTTTTTATTTTTGTAGCGAGTTTCTAATTGTAGCTATTAGAAAAGATGGGAAAGACTCCAAGTCCTGGTAAATGGATCAAGTCTCTTCTTGGGAAGAAGTCATCCAAATCGAGTTTGGAGAAAGGAGGCGAAAAATTGGTAAGAAGTTAGTGAAAGTTCTGGTTTTTACTGTGTTTTTTTTTCTGTTGGGAAATTAAATGATGAGAAACATTGTTCATGTTTTGGAAGAGATCTGCAAAGAAGGAAGAGGTTGTAGTCAGGGTGAAGGATAGTAATGTCTCAAAGCTACCTACCGAACCCCCTGTAATTACATCAGAAGAAGTTGCAGCTACTCAAACTGTAGTAGTTCCTGATGTTGTAGTCCCTGAGAAGCAGCCAAGTGGAGATATTGAAGGCGAGGAGGCATCGAATGTGAATCTTGAGTCAGGGAATGACTCTGAAGAAGTCAAGCTTGAAGAAGCTGCTACAAAGGTTCAAGCTGCTGTCAGAGCTCATCAGGTGAATTCCTTTTCTTTATTCTATATGTATTGATTTATTGGGTCTTATTTTGCTGATACTTTGTTGTTTTCTTAACTTGTGAAGGCCCGTGAAGAGTATCAGAACCTCAAAAGTATCATAAGGGTGCAAGCAGTTATTCGTGGTCACTTAGTCAGAAGACAAGCTGTTGCTACCTACTCGTGCATTTGGGGAATTGTGAAGTTACAAGCGCTTGTTCGCGGGAAGAAAGCTAGATCCTCAGAAACCGGGGCTGAACTTCAGAAAACAAATACGGTATTCAATGTCTGTTAGTTTTATACATTCCACTTTGATAACTGCTCCTTGAATTTGCTTTCAGAACTGTAATTTCCTTTATCTATTAGGAAATCGAGGATTCTGAAACTTTGCAAGGAACCACATACAGTTGGATGGAGATTCCCACAAAGCTTTCCATGATTGATAAGGTAACATCAACATTTTGCTTTGTGGCTCTCTGACAGGCTCATAATTATTTGTTTCCGTGACATTTTCAGATTTTGGTTTCATCACCAACGACATTGCCTCTGAAGATGCAGTTTAGTCCTGAGAATCCTAACTCAGCCAAGGTGTGGCTTGAACGCTGGACACAGTTGCAGGTTTGGGCTCCTGGTCCACTGGTGGTTAAAAATCTGATACCAAAATCTCAGACAAAGAAGCGAAGTTTTCAAGCAGTTGAAACGGAAAAGGGAAAACTTAAGAGAGGTGTGAAGAAACCAGTCGGTGCTTTAATTACTGGAAATAGCTCCGGTAACCGTTCTACAACTGAAAACGAAAAGCCTAAACGAACTGTGAGGAAGGCTTCCACACTTGGTAAAGAACTTTCGAGAACTGAGAATGACAAGTCTAAGCAGAGTTCAAGAAAGAGTACTAGCACCATAAAAGAACGGTCCTCAGTGGAGGCTAAAGAGGAGAAGCCTAGAATTAGTCTAAAAAAGGCTTCGCTTTCTAATGGGATAGAGAAAGCTACCCGGAAATCTGCTGAGAAGAAGAAAGAGATTGCTGATTCAGTGCAGAAAGAATTGTCTGTCGATGAGGTTTCAGCTGCTGTAGTAGATGCTCCTGAAGATGAAAAGATGAACCTTATCCCTGAAACAGTTTCGAAAGAGTCTAATCTTGATAAAGATGAGCAATCACCGGTTCTGGATAACATGGAGCAAGAGGATCTCAAGACTGCCGAGAGAGATGATAAAGCTGAAGAGGAAATCCAAGAGCCAGACGGGCAGATTAGCTCTGAGAATGGAAATGTTGCTTCTGAGAACACAAAGCCTAACGATAGACGAGCTTCGTTGCCTGCAAAGATTGAGAATCATCATCAAGACGATGGGCTTACACAAAGTGGGCGAAAAATTCCGAGCTATATGGCTCCAACTGCATCTGCAAAGGCAAGAATAAGAGGACAAGGTTCTCCAAGGATTACTCAAGAGAAGCCTGAGAAAAACGTGACAACAAGGCGCCACTCTCTTCCTCCTGCAGCCAATGGTAAGCTGAGTACAATGTCTCCAAGAGCTCACAGACTGCTCATAGCTTCAGCTAAAGGATCGATGAACAGTGACAGGTCGTTTTCGTCCTCCAAGGACATTGGTGGTAAGAGGTTTCAAGCTATGAGTATACACAAGTCTCTTACATAATTTCAATCTTTAAATATCTACATCTTTTTAACACTTTATATTCATGTTTACTTTCAGACAAGTCAACGAAAGCTGAGTGGAAACGGTGAAAGATCTGAAACTTTTTTTAGACAGAAAGAGAAAGCAATCCATAGAGGCATCCTCATCATCTTACACTGTTGGACAAAGCTCTGAAACCTTTTGAATCACTCTTAACTGTTTTTCTTTATTATGATTGTCTGTGTGTTTTGTGTTGGTTTGGTTTTGATTTGGTTTGGTGTGATGAGTGACTCATCATGAGTCTTTGACATGTTGTCTTCAGTTTACTTTCACATGCTTTGTCTCACAAACAGAATAGGGTTCGAGTAAATAGTTTCTTTAAAAATCGTCTCTAATCATTTGCAGTTGTTGGATTTTACAAATTGAGATTTCTTACAAATTTAATTCAGCACAAACCAATTTATTACATCCCAAGATTGAAAACTTTCGTCCTTCAGACTAAACTCATTATACCCACAGACCAACATACAAACAGACAAGATAGATCATCATGATCGACTATATTGTTTCCATTCCAGTGCCAGAATTTGGGATATTGGAAATTTGGTTTAACTATGTGGAACAGTGAAACAATATTGAAACCAAATTTTATAAACTGAGCCAAGAATGAAACTTTCGTCCGTTACACAGCACATTTTACACACAGAGCAGCATAAAGTAGACAAAGACAAAAATAAAACTATTACAGTGATTCTATTTTACACGAGGAGAGTTATTGTGAGTAGGCAAAGGAGAAGCACCAGGAGTTATGTTTAAGAGAGGCCGATCATAACTATACCTCCTTGGAGATTTTTGTACAACAGATCCACTACTACCTCTTGGAGAATCAATCTGAGATGGTCTGTTTCCAATTCCAGTTCCAGGTTTAGTTGACTCAAGCTGCTCTAATTTGGCTAAAACTTCTGACATTTTCGGTCTGAGTTTTGCGTCGGGGTTTAAGCATTGCAATGCAAGACTAGCTGCTGTGTATGCTCCTTTTTGAGGATACTGACCGCCTAATCTTGTGTCCATTATTCTAAAGAGCTTTCGCTTGTCGCCAAGATACGGTGTTGCCCAGTCCACTAGACTCTGTTCCATTCCCACTTTTGATTTATCCACCGCTCTTCGTCCTGAGAGTAATTCCAGTAGCACCACACCAAAACTGTATACATCGCTCTTAGCAGTTAATCGACCTGTAGACGAAAATTAAATTTGAGCCAAAGAGTTTAAAAAAAAGTGAAGTGTATAAGCTGCAATGGCAAAAGCCTTTGAACCAAAGTGCTAAAGTTCTTTTGCAGAGAAGGCTATAAGCATATGACGCAAAAAGCCAATGTTATAGAGATAAAGCGCCAAAAGGCTAATGTTTTTGAAGTAAAGGCCAACACTTTTAAAGCAAAGACAAATGTATTTGAAGTGGATAGGTTTAAAGCTAAAGCCAAAGTTTCTCACCTGTTGCTACATATTCCGGGGCAGCATATCCGTGAGTACCCATGACTTGCGTGGACACATGAGTCTTGTCACCAGTAGGACCTGCTTTAGCTAGACCGAAGTCTGAAAGTTTACTGTTGAATTCCTGCGAATAAGATCGATATAGAAGTTGGTTAGAAATGAAGTGAAATCCCGAATAAGGTGTTGGACTAATCAGGTTTCTCGGGTTTATTACAGCGTCAAGTAGAATGTTAGCAGCTTTAAAGTCTCTGTATATCACTTGTGATTTTGCGTCATGAAGAAAAGTAAGCCCCTTGGCTGCTCCTATTGCAACTTTCATCCTTATTGCCCAAGTAAGTGGCTGAGCGCCACCTGCAACAAAAGAAAACAATTTTATAAGGATTACAAATCAAAGTATTAAGAAGATAAGATGTGTTTGATTCTGAAAAGGATTTGCTTTGGTAATCACAGGTTTCACATACGTCTAAAAAGATGATTCTCCAAGCTTCCTTTTGGCATGAACTCATATACAAGTAACCTGTTTTCGCCCTCTACACAATACCCAACTAGTTTGACAAGATTTGGGTGACTAAGCTGACCAAGATAGTTCACTTCCGTCTGAAACCAAAACAAATCCAAAAAGATATGTCAACAAACAATGTTTTCAACACAATTCATGATCAAAATAAATAAGAGAAACAAAGACATACCAACCACTCCTTATGACCTTGGAAACCTTCAGTCTTAAGCTTCTTAACAGCAACAACGATCCCAGAACCGGGTTTTGAAGCAGTTAACGTTGTTCTATCAATCCATCCTTTAAAGACATAACCAAAACCTCCTTCACCTAAAAGACTATCGGGTCGAAAATTCCTCGTAGCGTTCTTGAGCTCGTTAAAGGTGAAAGCTTTAAGATTTGGTGATGACAAAATCTCTCCTTCTGTTCTTGGTGTAGGCAAAGACTCAACACTGCTGTAAGAGTTTATGCTTAAGCTTGAAGGAACTGTGGAACGACTTGTCTTGCTAGAAGCTCTTGAGCTCGACGAAGCTAAAAATAGATCCAAATAAAGTATCTAAAGTCAGACTCGAAACGAAAAATCATTACTTTATTTCAAATTCAATTTGCACATTGAGCAATCCAACCATATTAAATCAATCCTGATCCAACATTAAACCCCAAGATCATCATACACAGAGATGGGTAATTCGAAAGGTTTAATTTTTAAAGATGTCAGACATAGATAACACCATCTTAAAAGTCAAAAATTTAGCTTGGAATCAAATATATGGAAGTTAACTGAGAAGAAACCATTAGAGAACAGAGTAAGGAGAAATTTCCCAAAAAAGAACAATAACAGAAACTTGAAGCAAACGAAAAATGGGATAAAAGAAGAAACTTTAAGAAGTATGAAGAAATTTGAAAAATAGAAAAAAATACCAGAATTAGCATGAGGACTGTGGCTGCTACTATCCACTTTAGCTGATGAATCTAAGCAATTACCCATTTTTTTTCGAAACCAATCAAAAGAACAAAAACCTATGTTTCTTTGTTTGATCTGCAGCGCATAAGATTATTTGTAATATATTTATTATTAATTATATCAAAAAAAATAGAAAAGAAGAAGAGGATGATGATTTGGAGAATGAGAGAAGAAGAAGAAGAAGAAGAAGAAGGAACGTGAGAGATGTAAGAATCACAGAGAAGCACAGCACACCATACATACAAAAGTCATGGTGGTGGTGGTGTGGGGTTTTTGGATTTAATTACGATTCTACCCTCTCTCTTTTTGGCTTTTGTTCTACGTGGTCCGTGGTTTCCTCTGTAAAATGACTATTGTACCTTCGCTTTCGGCAAATCTTTACGGATTATGCGGCCACCAAAGAAGGGATAGTTTCGTAAAGATCTGGACCATCTGGACTACGTCTTTGCTTCCGTCAGCAAATCCACGTCAGATTTTGTGATAAAGCTTTGTCTTTTTTTTTTTTTTTTTTTAACATTAACCTTTAAGCAAAAGCAAAAAAAAAACTACTAAAAGATGCATCAAAATCTAATACAAAATTTTGGTAAAAGATTCCAATAATTTGTAGATAATGTAAAAGATTTTTATCTAATTATAATACAAATTGGGGTACAGGAGTTTTAAGTACTGTTAATGGAGGGATGATAGAGATAACACGCTTTACGAATATTTAAATTTCAAGTGTATCGAAACTTTATAATTCCCATCCATGCATTGACCCCAAAAACTAATTTCACATTACGTTTGACCGACACATCTAAGAGCTTTTTTTTTTGGACATATTACACTCTGACACGTGGGGCACAATATTCGCAATATAATTTATCAGATAAAATTGTATAAAACTCTAAGTCTCAACAATAAGAAGAAAATAATTTGGAATTTTATATAGGAATATCTTAATCGCTAAACGAATATAAAAATGAGTTAAAAGTATATTTCTACGATCACAACAACATTAAAATTTGTCGAAAACATATCATAATATAGTGATTACAATTCTGAAAGTTTACTTTACGTGACGACATTTACGGTTGTTACCGTTGGTGCCGCTCAGATGACCATAATTGTATAAACCAACCATCTCTTTTTTTTTGTCGGCAATTAAATAGCCATTTAAAAAAATGTCCGTATTTTGCAACTTGATATATCATAAGTACAGTATATCACACCAAGTGATTTGTATCAAAAAAAATATCCTAAGGTTGAAAAAGAAATCAGGAAGCATGTGAATAGTTTTCTAGTAACACGACAAAAAGAATCATGTTGAGAGTTATCTTTTGACTATATCAAATACCTTCTACTAATATATATCTTTGTCAACCATATTATCTATATATATATCCATCCATGATCCATGTACAATACATAGTGTTTGAGTGCTTTTTTATTTTATTTGCTATCATATTTTATACTTTCAACCTTTCTTTTAGTCTTTTCCTTTGTCAACAATATTATCATCTTTGCCTTTAGATAAAAGTATATATCTTATCTCATCTTTGATTTTATAAAATGTAAATATTTTATCAAAATATTCATTAGTTGAAAGATATAAATTCTTATTCAGGTTTGTCCCCTGAATAATTCAATATTAAAACACTTAAATAGTGATTACAATTCAAAAATTGATTAAAAAAAGAAAACTCCATCTAAATCAACGATTAAAGACCCTTAATGATGAGGTAAGACTTTGCTTTTGGTCAACTTGAAAAGCAGCCACCGAAACTTTCCAGCGTGTTGCAGACTATAATGGCAAGTGTGCTGTTTTTACAACAAGAAAACGGCGTGTAGTTTTTCTTTCTATTGCAGAGACGGAAACCATTTCACGAGCTGCACTCCAAACTTACACATGCGTCATCGTGAACCAATCAGAAACGTTAAGTGAGATCGACGGTCCAGTGTATAGCTCCCACGTGGAACATCGACGTCTATTTTCGCGCCTTTGTAACAACAACATCGTCTTCCAAAATCCTAAATAAACAATTTAAGTTTGCGATTCTCCGATTGGATCAGTGGAATCAGAATCGAAACGACGCCGGAGGAATCATCGGCGGTGTGGAAGCGTTACCGGAGGGCGATGGAGGTAAATGGCTCCGGGTTCCGTCGAATTCTGCTGTTGGCGTTGTGTATCTCCGGGATCTGGTCCGCCTACATCTACCAAGGCGTTCTTCAGGAGACTCTGTAAGTAAATTGTTAGGTCGGCTCGATTCTCTTCATCGTCATTGCTCGATTCGGCTTGTTGTTGCGATAGTTTACAGTCCGAGTCATGAACTCATGATTCGTCTGCAAATGCACTTCCGTATTCGAAATCTGTGGTTGGAATTTAAGAGACGTCAATGCAGAAATTTATTCTTAATCCATTGGAAAAATGCACTTGTATTCAAAATCCGTGCTTAGAATTTTGAAGAGACATAAAGCTGGAGGAACTTGTTCACCGTCCATGGACTGAAAAAATTCGTTATTTGATTAGGTCCACGAAGAGATTCGGTCCAGATGAGAAGAGGTTTGAGCATCTTGCATTCTTGAACTTGGCTCAAAGTGTAGTCTGTTTGGTCTGGTCTTATATAAGTGAGCACATTTCCAATTCGATCTTCATTGTCTTTGCATCGAATACAGACAAATGTAGCTGAAATGTCGGATTTTGTGCAATTTGATTATGTCCAGTGATCAAGCTTTGGTCAAACGCTGGTAATGGCGGAGCACCATGGTGGACGTATTGGAGTGCTGGAATTACTAACACGATTGGTCCTGCCATGGGAATCGAAGCCTTGAAGTATATCAGTTATCCAGCTCAGGTAACTATTTGCCTGATCAGTAATACTCATATAGCTTTTGAACTATATCTTAGGTAAATGGTGGCTTGAATACTTGAATTCCGATCTTGCTTGCTGCAGGTCCTGGCAAAATCGTCAAAAATGATTCCAGGTACGGTATCATTTTTTAGATTGCAGTCTTCAGTCCGTCAGTTCCTCGAAACGATGATCATCAAACTCTCTTTCTTACACATTTCTTTTTTAAGATGTCTCTGTTTATCTCATTCATGCTTTTCTTTCCGTGATGCAGTTATGTTGATGGGAACTTTAGTGTACGGAATAAGATACACATTTCCTGAATACCTATGCACCTTTCTTGTCGCTGGAGGAGTTTCCATCTTTGCTCTTCTTAAGGTATGCAAATCTGCTCGTTCAAGAACTTTGATCAGAGCATATTAATTAACCTTCTGGTTTGAATTTTTCAGACAAGCTCAAAGACAATTAGCAAGCTAGCACATCCAAATGCTCCCCTCGGCTATGCACTTTGCTCCTTAAACCTCGCCTTTGACGGATTCACAAACGCCACCCAAGACTCCATTGCCTCAAGGTATATACATATATGTATAGATCGACATTGCATCTGGACACAAAACTTATAATCTTCCATCCTTTTATCAAATGACCACACAATGGAACTTTACAGGTACCCGAAAACGGAAGCATGGGACATAATGCTGGGAATGAACTTATGGGGTACAATATACAACATGATCTACATGTTTGGATTGCCGCAAGGGATTGGATTCGAAGCAATTCAGTTCTGCAAGATACACCCGGAAGCAGCATGGGACATTCTAAAGTATTGTCTATGCGGTGCAGTGGGACAAAACTTCATCTTCATGACAATAAGTAACTTCGGGTCACTAGCTAACACGACCATAACCACGACGAGGAAGTTTGTTAGCATCGTTGTGTCGTCAGTAATGAGCGGAAATCCATTGTCGTTGAAGCAATGGGGTTGTGTTTCGATGGTCTTTGGTGGTTTGTCATATCAGATTTATCTTAAATGGAGAAAACTGCAGAAAATGGAGAAGAAGAAGCAAAAGAGCTGAAGAATGCATTTGTTTCCTCTAATTATTTTTCAGCTATTCTTAGTTGTTTATACTTCTCCTTGTCTCTCTAGTCAACCGAAACATACAGTGAGTCTCAACCAGATTAGTTAATTGTAAAACTAGTGATTAACCTATGGTAACATTACTAATTAAACAAACACTATATGATTGGAGATTGAGTTTTGTAAACTTGGAAGTTCAGCAGACTTTTGACATTCAGCTTAGATCACTGGTTTTAGCGGTTTAGTAAGAATTTGGTTTAATAATTGTTATGGTTATAATTCTGATCGACCGGTATGGTACAATTTTGAAGACAACCAACTAAAACCTGGATTAGAACAGTAGAAAGGAAAATGGAGGTTGAAAAATTCAAATTAAAAAGAAAAGGTAGAAAGAAAGTGATGATTACGTTTTGTCTTCCACTAACCAACACTTAAAACAGCTCCCATTTATAGAGAAGCAGATCCAGATCCAACTAAGTATTACCTCTTTGAGTTCTTTTCTTCTGCAACTATAATCACAATCACAGACGAAGGAGAAGATGATCTTGAGAACATAGGTACGTTTATAATAATAATGAAACATTATATAATTCACACCAAAATCAATTCATTTCCACTCATATTATAATCTCTTTACAAATCACATGATTCTTCTGAGAAGGGAACAAAGAGAAAGGATTTATGACAAACAAACAAAAATTTCTCTCTTTTTTTTTTGTGTTTTTCTTTTTATCTTCTTCTTCTCATACCTATGAGGAGAAGTTGCACTACCAAAAAGGAAGAAACTTCAAGGAAAATTTCTTCCCTGTTTCTTCTCTGTTTTACTCCAAAACCATATGAAAAATCTTTGTTCTTTCTTTTTCTTCTGTGTATTTTTCATTACTGTGTATATAGAAAGGCGACATGCCTCTCTGAAGTTGTTTTTTCTTCTTTTTTTCCTTTAGTTTACACTCTGAAACAAAAGCTCTATTTTTTTTTTATGTAAACAATATTAGGTTCTGTACAGAGAATTACGAAAACAACAAATCAAGAATTCATGGGAGGAGGAAAGACCCGGATTATGTATCTGGGTCTGACCTTTGAAAGAGGGAGGACAAATAACGAAAGAATTTTTCTTAGACACACAAATCATGAATGGAAGAAAAAACTCATACTTTTAAGCCTTTTTATGAAAATGGCTTTTGAGTATGATGATGAAAAGAAAACTCTCCTAATGAGTGAGCAAATATTGGGAATCCCTGAGTATCTGAGAGAGAAACTCAGTTTCTGAGATGGGTCTAGACTTAGAAATGTTACCTTTAACATTCTAGGATTCTAGATTATAAACACTGAGGGGGAAGGTAAGAAACAATGCAGATCATGGCACGCCCGCTTCACTAAAACTTTTCAGGCCGATATGGCTGCAAATCTATGAAGAAGAAAAATCTAAGCAAAAAGAGGGATGAAATGCAAGTTATGTCCACCTCCATGAGGACATAACTGCGGTTTTAGGGATGGTATTTTTTTTGGTTTAGAGGGACTGGTTTTGGTCTGGTTTACAAGCTATCGAGAAGGACTCTTTTGCAAGGAGGTGGTTGTGAAGGATTAGCACTTGGACATGGACATGGGGACTCGACACCAAGTGTTTTTAGCAGAAAGCTCCTCTCCTGCAGAAACAGATTCATCAGGTTTCTTTTCTTATAAAAAATCTGCAGTGCAGTTAGTTTATGTGCAAGCTTACACTTTCAGAGAATTGTGGGCTTGGAATGCCTGCTGCTAAAGATCTGAACAAAGGAGTGACTTGGACAGGGGAGTTAAACTCTTCGTCACACGTCATGGGCACAATCTCATTAGGGTTCTTTAGAACATCCTGACATGTTGTGAGTAAATCCACTTGTTCTACCGTTGCATCAGACACAATCCCTTTAGCTTGTAGTAACTCCCCCTCATCTTGTTTCTGCAATGTTGTCTGAGTATCAGACATGGGTTGTTGGGTTTTATCACCAGAAGAATGCTGCATGACAGTTGATCCTGAGCTATATTCAGAGCTTGCTGGTGAATCATGGAGATCAGGTTGCCTATAAGTGACATTAATGCTGTTAGTTGATCGGAAATCACAATCATTCATATGAAAGAAACAATACAAAGATTCTAACCTCCAAGATGTTTGACTATCTTCATTACTACTCCTCAAGTCCTCAACAAGATCTTTGAATTCCTCGAGTTGGAAATCGATATCTGGGATTCCATATCTGAATAAATCATTTTCTTTGCTTTTATTCAAGTAATCCTGTAGGACCTGGAAATATTAGGAAAAACAGCAATTGCTTCCGCTATTAGAAAGCTCACAAAGGATCGTGTAAGATTGAGTTCAATTTTTGACTCATAGTTTCAGAAGTTAAAGAGCAAAATGAGTCGAGAATCACAGCAGGGCCGCGCATTGTTTACCTTCCAGGCATTATCCATGCTTTGATCTGTGTCGTCTGCATTAACTTTCTGTGCCAATGAACTGAGAAGCTCCACTTGTTGCATCAAAGCTGTCACCTTTGAATCATCCTTCTTAAGAAACACCTCTTGGGTACCTTTATCCCCACCTATGTACCAGAAACACAATTTTTGAATAAGACTCTGTATGTTTGCATCTTTACTAATGCTCTAGCAACTATTTCCCAGAATAAGCAACATCAAGAAGAGTTTTGCGCACCATCACTCTCTTTGGCATTGCCTGTTTGTTTCTGCTCTTTTGTGCCATCAATACCTGTGGCATTGTGGGCTACTACAGAAAATGGAGGTCTACTCTGTTGATTCATAGCCGATTCAACCTTTATATGTGATCTATCCCCATAGCTCTTGATCTCTGTAAGATTTGGAATGTGACTTTTCCTGGATAATGAACATGAACATCATATGTCAACAGAACAGTTCAAAAAGCTTTCTTCTTTGGATCAATCAATTGCCCCCAAAAGGAGAAACCAAATCAAGGTTCTCACCTCATTTTTTTAGTAAGAGGAGATTCACTTTCAGCTTTTCGTGGTGTACTAATACCATCTGGGAACAACAATCTCTTGTTGTTAGAGTTTACACAACACCCAATACTGTTCTCTTTAGCCATGGCTTCATACTTAGCTCTCTTCTTGCACAGTGTTGTAAACCTGTTCTTCACAGCATTATCCGTTCTACACAAACCACAAAGAAGAAAAATGAATTCTCTAATTTCATAACCAAAATAACTTGATTCACTATTAAAGCTTTAATCTTTCTTCGTTCCAATATACCTGCCTGAGACCACTTTTGCAATCTCAGTCCACCTATTCCCAAACAATCTCTGTGCCTTCAAAACCAAACACACACAAGATCAGACACAAAGTCTACAATCTCGTCATCTGTATTTGATAGAAAAGGATAGAAAAAAAAAACAGAAGCCTAACCTCACACAAAAGTGTATCTTCTTCAGGGGACCAACCTCCTCTCTTGAAATCAGAGTTTAAGTAAGTATACCATCTGCAATAAATCAAAAACCCCACACAGTCAGATCAAACACCCAAAAACTCCACATTAGAAAAAACAATCATCTTGATTTCAGATAGACGTAACCAAACCTTCGTCTACACTGCCTTGTGCTCTTATCAGTAAACTTGGATGCAATGATCGCCCAACTAATATCAATCAACAACAACAATCAAAATCAAAACTTTTCATCAGAATCAATCAACCCAATAGAACAGAAACTTAACCCAGAAATTGAAAACGAAAAAAAAACACAAACTTTTCAGTTCCATGTACACTGATATGCTTCCTTAGTATATCATCTTCCTGAAAATACTCAAAACAGAGAGATTCATCAATACTAAAGTTCGATTACAGAACACAGTCAGAGATTGATGGGACGATTAGATATAAATAGAGAGGGAGAGAGAGACCTCAGGAGTCCAAGTAACAATATGACGCTCCTTCTTCTTGGAATCATCGGTATTAACAACAACCTTCTTCTTCTTGTTGCTGTTGGTGTTGTTGTTCTGCTTCGTTGTCTCTTCCATTAAAAAGTTTTTGTTTTTCTCTCTCTGACGCTCTCGTCTGTAAAAAATCTTAGTCTAATGTTATTTGCTTCGACGCTCCTTCTCCTTTATTATAACACCCAAAAACTATCTCTATCCCACACAAAACCAGAGAGACCCCTCCAACCTTTTTTTTTTTTTTTTCTTATCCGGCAAAAGAAATAAAAACCCAAACTTTTTCCAGAAAACTTATTAAAAAGGAGAAATCGAAAACCCTAAACTTTTGATTTTATTAAAAAGAAGTCATTTTTGTTTCATCACTACTACTACTCGGCAAAAAAAAATTATGGTTTTATAAACTTTCAAGGGAGATTGAATTTGGACGAAAACGGTAAAAGGGAAAGAGATTCTTAAAGAAAGAAAAAAAAAAGTAGAGAATTTTTTCCCAAAACTGTGAAATGTTTTGGGGATTGTTTGAAAATTTCCTCAATTCAACGGATTCATAAACAGTTTGGATTCATTTAGTAGTAATAAAGACTCTAATTTGGATGTTTGGAACTATAAGAAAATGAATTTGAACTCATCACATTACTCTCTCTCTCCTCTTCACATGATACCTTTTTTGAACTCTCTCTCTCTCTCTCTCTCTCTCTCTCTCTCTAGTCTCTAGGTTTTATTTTCACACACACACACACAAAGAAAATGCAAAGAAAGAGAGAAAGGCCCAACGTATGGATTGATGGGTGTGTTAGTGCGCGGGCATGGAGTGAAGTTTGAAAAATTGTATAACGCTGAAATCCATGTGTCTACTCTCACCTCACCAGTCACCACTCTATAAAACCATAATTTATTGCCCCTTCTTCTTCCTCTCTCTATGTATATATTTTTAATGATTACGAATGTTAAATAATATTTTTCTTTTTTGGGGGTTAAATGTGAAGATTTAGATCTAATATGACGAATGTGTAAGGAGAGAATAAAGAATACATGAATAACAAAAAAAAAAAGTATAGTATATGTTTTCAAAAAACTTGCCTTAAGTTACACACAAACGAACGTGGTCATTTTTATTATACTATTACGGTGTGTCTAGAGTTTCGTGGGGAATATGATTACTTTTTATGATTCTCTTATCTAATTTAATCTACTGATAAGTTATATATATATATATATATATATATTACATTACAATGATGATAATATATCAAATAGTATAAAAGAACTTCTCACTCTCATTTTTATTATCTTAAATATAATGTATAAAAAATAAATGAATAAAATGAAATTTGGATTTCTGGACAACAATTATTGGAATAGGAGATTTGACAATGTTGTTGTTGTTGTTTTGTTAAAAAGAGAGAGAGTATACGACAATTTACGTGACTCAACCATCGACCATTCCTTTTCGTTTCAATTCTTTCGTGTCTTTTTTTCAACAATTTTTTTTATATAATATAATTTAGAGTTTTGAAAAATAATCATCCATGCAAATACGAGCTTCAAACCATTATTAAACCCAAAAAAAAATAGAGAGAATGAGATATCAGCTTTTAAAATATATATATATAAGTGTGACTTGGACTTATGGTAGTGGTGTAGTATGGGTAATGCCATCCATGGGATAAGAGATTAATTAACTAATAATGATAATTAATTAGTCTAGTTTTGCTTACAAACTACTGTAAATAAATTAGTTGGGGGGATTAGTTAGGAGTTCAAGTTTGACCGGAAAGTTTGGAGTGCACGTGAGATTTGAGCGCGTGACAATGTTTTGAGATTTGAGATTCAGTCATCAGTTCAGTCATAACGGATTTTTAAGACAGCGAAGCTCTCTGACAAATCACTGTTTTTTTACAAGTTTGTAGTTAATTAATAATTATTTACTTCTTCTTTAATGTCTATTTTTTCCATTTTTATTTTTTTCAGTATGAAAAAGTTATAATGTGTAAGACGTAATAACTGTTGTAGAAAATATTTAATAGAAAGTACTTCCAAATTGCGACCAAAAAAAAAAAGTACTTCCAAACAATATAATAGAAAAAAATTATTAAAAAAAAAAGAAGAGTATGTGAGATGGTTCTAAATCGGCTACATTGTTTAAAAATCTCTTTGGTACTTGAAACTGGTCGATAAATATGGTTTTTTGAAAATCTATTTGGTACTTAAAAATCATCATATACCCCTAAAATCAATAAGGTTTACAAATTTATTTAATTCGATGATTTTACTATATTTTATTTGGTATGCTACTTGAAAACTGGTGGACACGACGAAATTAGATAATCGTATAGAATTAGAATAAATATATATATATAACTAATATATAAAATATTTGGTGGAATGATGATGTAAGCATCCCACATGTAAAAATTTGTCGTCCTGCATGTATCATGTATGTATAAATATACTAAAGCACGCGTACATTTACATTATACATACATACATGTGTGTCTTTCGTTTTTGAAACTTATACGTACGATTTGTATGTATCCGACGCGATGTGGATATATATGGCAGTTTTACAAAAACAAAAGTGCATCTATTTGTACATTGTTACTATAGATTTTGTATTTATTTGTTCCGTTTATTCCTGCAATTCTCATCAATTTCTCTAGAACCAACGTTGGACTTTATCACAATCCAAATCAAAGACCCTCCCGCCTTGACGTTGGACTCGATCGTTCCACAGTAACCCTAAAGTCATTGCTCGTGTTCTTTTCATTGAACCTTTTCTCATTGATTCCATAACTGGATAACAACAACATGCATGTCACACGACCTATGTTTTCTAAAAATCATTATAAAAAAAAAAACGTGTAAGTTTGACAAATGTTGTGAATAGTACATATACGTTATTATAAATATATATATACACAGTAGAGATGCAATGGAAGTAAAAAAAAGAGGTCGGTGAAATGAGAAAGCTAGGCCCACAAGCAGCCACAAAAAGGCCGACTCTATGATATAAAAATGGAACCCAATGCATAAAAGTTCACTCTTTTCTTCTTCTCTCATTTTATCACATTTTTTTTTTTTTGTTACACTATATAAAGTTTACATTTTTCTTTCTTTTTCTATCTGCCAACAAAGTTATAGTCTTTACACTATATTCGTTCCCCCTTTCGAAATATGCATGTTTTGAAATATTTTTAAAAACTTTTACAAAAAGTAAATGTTTCACATGAATATAAATTTGTTGTGCTTTCTCTCTTTTACTCTGTGTTGAAATCATCAACTAAGTACGATATAAACTGTAAGCTAATCATAGTTCAACTAAGTTTTAATTAATTTATCAATTTTGTAACATTGAAATCGATAAGCTCTTTGGATATGTAGAAACAAAAATAATCAAATATAAAGAACTAAATAAAACATAAAACGGGTTAATGGCTTGGCTTATAATATATATCTATTACGTATGTATGATTTATTAAAATAATTATAAACATTCAAAACCAATTAATGGTAAATGATATATATATATATATATATATACTTAAATTATATATTTATAATTGTAACTACTCAAAATTAAAGTAGATTGTGAAAGAAAAAAATAAGGGATAGAAAGAAAGAAAGGATTCCCTCCATAACATGGGTCGTTCTCAATTCTTTATGCCACAAAAATTTGTCATATTGTGTGGATTTTGGGCTCTACTTTGAAAGAGATCGAACATTTTTTTTGTTTCTCATCATTTCTACATAATATTCTCATTGGATAAATTATTGGTAGCTTCCTGTTTTCTAAACATATGTAATGCAACTTTACCAACACCCAACTACATATACGTACATGCTCTTCTTTTTATACAACTTAATTACTTATAGTTTATTAATTTCACATCAATTAATTGTATACTTTAGGGTTTTCGTAGCAATCTATCTCGGTTAATTAAGATTATCACTCATTACATTAATATTGGTATGCCATACATCATACATGTTGGTACATATATATACACATATTAAACTATTGTATAAATAGATATTTCATACATTTCATGGTTATGGCTAGTGGGTTTGATCATATTGATGATGGGAGGAGTGGAAAGATAAAATTGGAAATATAAAGGAAATGTGGAAAGAGATTGATTGAATTTTTTTTCCCAAGGCTATGGCCAACTCTTATGGACTTTGCAGCAAAAAATATTGACTTTGCAGCAAGGCTATTGCCTTGTTCATCCCCCACACATTTCTTTAAAAAACACTGATAAACTAAATAGGGTCGCATATTTATTGCTGTTTTCTAAAGAGTTCCATTCTCTCCCCCTTAAAAAATAAAAGGAACACTATTTATGGTATGGTCTACTTAGCATGCTTATCAAAAGAAATATAAAGGAAGAAAAGAATGAATGGTGAGTCCACATTTTATTAACAACTATATGTAAACAATATATGTATTTTGCAACTCTAACCACAAGAAATATAGAGCAGATAGCTTATTTGTATTGTGACAAGATAAGATAGATTATTTTTTAACTTAACAATATAATTCAAAAATATTGTTTTAGTTTTTAATTAAGTTACTTCAATTATTTTTTTAAGATGTAGCTAATGAGATATTACATATTTGTGGATAATCACTGTCTACTATTCTATTGGTTTGATGAGGGAGTGGTCCAGTGAAGATGGTGGCAAAAACTAGTGAGTAAAAAAACGACTATTAGAAAAAGCTTAATCCATATATATTGAAATGATTGGTTATGTAACAGAACTAATGTTAAGTGGGAATAGATAGGTTTTGTTGTTGGAGGAATGGCCCAATTTCCAAAAGAGATTTATAGTTTTTTATTTACTGTTGTGTGTATATACTAGTACATATAAAAATGCTTAATAGAATGAAAGATGTATGTTGTGTGCTCTCTCTTTTTCTACTTTCATCTTCTTTAACATGATCTCATCATACCAAGCAGAGCGGCCTCTACTCCAATCAGCTCGACCCACGTATCATCGTGTTCCGTTGTGTTCCCACTTTAGCTCTCGCCACGTTGACGTTGCACAACATAATTTAGAGTAACTTAACTTTTTGATAAATGAAATGTCCATAGAACAGTGAAAAAACGTCATTATATACTGTTTTACGTTGTGATTGTTTTTTAGGGTTTGATGATAAATAACGGAGCTAGTTATGAGATGTCATGGTGGTTTTTTGAATACGTGGTCCTGTGATGATATATTATTCATGAAAACTAATCACATTACGTTGATTTTT